TATGCAAAAATGCAACAGGAAAGTTGACTCTCAGTATGACCAAGAGATTTCCCCTTAACAGAACAAAAACATTCACTGGTGTATCAGTTATGCTTAAAATGTCAAAGATTGGGAAATCTAACATCAGAATGGTCAGAGGTCTTTCCCATTCTTTAAGATTTCAATTTTTAAAGCACAAAAACGGTTCAAGAGCTTCAAGATACACTAATTTCATAAACTCATCAACATGTTTTTCTCTTGTTACTAAAATAAGTTGTCTTAGTTCCAAATATTCCATTTTTAACAGAAGGTTCTTTCCATGGAACTCCCAGCATGAGTCACAGGATATAATGCAGCAAGACACAAATCAGGGGCAAGGAAGGTGTAAGTTCCTCAAAAACAATGGCTGAGTAGCAAATCAAATCCACAGTATGGGTGAGGTCAGTGGTAGTACAAAGTTCGACTATTGTGGTGAACCTATGATAACATCAAAACCAGTCAAAGTATAGTCATGAAGAACACAGAGGCCTTGGAGTCAGGCAGACCTTTGATTTAAATCTAGTACTGACTGCTATCTTGGGACAGTCACTTCACTCACTTAAACTTCAATTTCTTCATCTGTAAAAGAGGGATAATAACTTTCATGATCTATTGTGAAGATTAAAGGTAAAAGTACAGTCAATCAATAAATCATTACTATGTATTAAGCACTCTTCCTGAGGATATAGTGGCTCAATACATAGTTATCATCACCATCAGACCATGAAGGTGAGATAAAGTGAGAGTTACTAGATACTAGCATTATGAGCTAGAGCAAAAGGCAGAAAGTAAAAACAGCAATGAGGAAAACAATGTATTCTGGGTGGTGCTCCATTTAGTACCACCAACTGGACTTACTGAGGGTCCACTGTGTGAAAAGCCATATTTTGAGTCATGCACATTAGAAACAAGAAGTAGTACAGAAAGTTCTGGCAGTAAGAGAGCAACAATGGTAAAGGTAACTGTTGCAGTTATCCAAGCCATGTAGCCAACACCTCCAGGCAGAGCTGCTTACAATATATATTCATCCTAACTACGCAGTACAAGCAGGGCGAGCAAGGACAGCTGACTGGAGCTGCCTAAAGGTAGGATGCTTGCTCAGTCACTCATTTACGTGATATACAGACTGGGGGCCAAAAGCCAGGGTGAGAAAGCTGGGGCCACTTAGGCACCTTACTCCTAATCTCTACATGGTCTCTCCAGCATGGGGACTTTAGGATGAGTAAACCTCTAAAATGCAACTTTGGAACAATAAGGATATGTGTTGAGACAGAGACAGAAAAGCCAGCTAGAAACCATCACATGTTTTATGATACAGCCTTGACGTCCTGGAACACCACTTCTTCCACATTCTGTTTATAAAAGCAAATTGATAAGACTCACCCCTAACAAGAAAAGAGCAAATATACTCCACCTCTTGGGGAAAGAATGTGAATGAAATTCCAACATACTCTTTGGCCAAAAGTTACTTATATTCCTTCCACATGCAAAATTATAAGGTTCACTTCCCTAGACCACACCACATCAAAGCAAAAATCACACCTATTAAGGCATCAAGGGAAGGCTCAAATCCAGGATTTGCAGCAGGTACAACTGAGACTCCTCAAATTCCATTTACCAAATACAGCAAAGTATAGCACACAAAGTATATGAATTCTCAACCTAAAAACCCAGGGAACCAAAGCAACGATTTCTCCTTCACATACCAAAATACAACAGTTGAAGACCATAGACTTGACGTGAAGAGGAGGAGAAAAAACAGCAGACAGGAGTCACTAGGGCACAGCAGTTCTGAAATCCAGCCAGGCATGTGCTGTTGATTACTGCCTAGGAGTGCACAATAGCATCCTAACAGGCCGTAGCTCTACCCTCAGATCTCATGGTTCCAATCTCTGAGCCATCCCTTTTCACTAAAAAATGCTGGTATTTGTAGCTAGTTTTGTCAGCTTCCTTCCTGCCAACATTTACTTCACAAGTTCAAAGGCCTTTTCTCATGTTATACTGTCTTTTTTGGCCCAAGCAGGCAGTGTTTCTGTGAACATACTTTCTAAAAACTTTCTGGGTCTCCAACAAATCATCCTGAAGTTTACATCTTTAGACAAAAGCAACATCCATAAAATGTATCAAGATAAACCCTTCTCTACCTTTGTAATCCTGTAAAATTGTTGTAGGAAAACACAGTTGACATTCTTAAATGCCCTGTTCTTTAGCAAAGATTATCTGCAATCAATACCCTTTAAGATCCTTGGAGATACCATCCAATTCTTCACACAAGACTGTAAATAGCATCCTTGACATCAAGTTTGCCGCACCCAGTGCAGCTCTCCAAATTCTCAGGGTGAAGAATGGTGGAGGACACATTAACATCACACATTAATGTTCACACATTAACATCTTTTGTCTTGAAAGAAAAACAACATGTGTGCCATAGGTTTGCCACCACTGCTCTACTCCGTCCTCTCTTCTCTACTGCCAGTAACTCAGTTAAACACAGACAGAGGTTCTTACTCTGTCCTCCTTACTGTCTAACATACTCTCTCAAACTTTTTATCCTTATTTTTGATATTTGGATACATTTCTTTTCATTAATTCTCTCCTCACTTGTGTCTTATGCTGCTAGATCCATGTATTAAGTTTCCAGCTTTTGGAAGGAGGGAAAATCGGAGACTAGAGAAATGTAACACCAAACCAATATTAGAAACGTTAACATCTGACTTATAATTATAAAGATAACCCATTCATGCACTTGTCAGGCTTCCTGCACATCTTTCGACAAGCTCCAGTGCCAACATAAGGCAAGGATTTACGTGCATCTAACTTGACCCAAGTTCCCCAGGCAAATAAAAATACTCAAGTATGACATTCCAAGCAGCCATGACCAAAGTGGCTTACTGTCCCTTTTTAAATGTTATAAAAACAACTCCTTTAAAAGTAACAAAGTGTATTTATATGCAGCCCAAGCCAGCTCCTTCTCACTGGATGTAGCCCACATGAACCAAAGGCTGGACACCCACGGCAGAAGTCACCGCGCAGAAATCAAGACCAGGCCTCCTTCGGGGCTGGGGATTTAGCTCAGTGGCAAAGCGCCTGCCTGGCAAGCGCAAGGTCATGAGTTCAGTTCCCGGTACCGGAGAAAAACAAAACAAAACAAAACAAAAAAACAAACACCCCCCCCCCCCGCAAAAAAAAAAGACCAGGCCTCCTTCTGGGTGTGATCAGAATTCTTCACTGTGCTGCGAATTATAGGTAAGCTGTGAACGTTCTGACCTGACTGAGCTTAACCGCTACATTATGATCTTGCAAAAACAGAACCGGGTGGAAATATTTATGTTTTCAATATTACCAAACTTTGATTCCTATTTGGAAAAAATCACTTGAAATTTAAAACCAAACCAAGAATCACAGCTCAGTCCACATCATCGGTACAGTTTTCTTCCACATGTTGGTCTTTGCTGCTGTAAGAATAGGCCATATTTGTGCAAAATGCAGCTCAGGAAAATCAGTCAATGTATAACCAACATTCCTCTTGCACGACATAATCATTCTTTATGAAAGCAGGCAGCAAAAATAACTTCCCGAAACTAGCTAAAAATCTGAAGACCAATATTACTTTAACATTAATTACTGGCATTTCTAAATTGTTCTGCATCGAACCACCTATGTGCCACAAACTATATGTCTACATAAAAGTGCAATGTGCTATCCTTCTTTTCTTTAAGAACACAGAAGCCTCTACCAGTTTTCTCCCTGGTTTAGGTATGAGAATGCCCTCTGCTGTGTACTTTATAGTATAGTCTCCAATTTGCAATGCTTCAAGTTTATCGTGGTAAGAAAGCAGCAAACAATCTCAATTTTGGTCTTTTTCTGGCTTAGCCATGTGCAGGGCAGTACTCCACGGTGCTGGGCAGCGACAGCAAGCCGCAGCGTCAGCCATGCAGTCGTGAGGGTAAACAACAAACGCACCAGCACGTGCTACTGTATGACGCGACGACGTGTGGTAAGTTAAGCATCTTTTATATACACTATCTTCAACATACGACCAGTTTGTCAGGATGTAACCAATCAGAAGTTGAGCATCGTCTGTACATACAAACAGGTATAGACTTAGAGCACACATGTTTAAATTTTATTTTATTGGTACAGTACATGTGTTAAGTACATTCACCTGAGGGGTAGGTACATGTACGTAACACATTGGTTCTTTTTAATTTTCTTCCCCTCCACATCCATCTCCCTCCCTCTCTAAGTCCTCTTTCCCCATTTTCATTAGTATTTTTTTTGGAGACAGGGTCTCACTATGCGGTTCAGGCTGGCCTTGGGCTCCCTATGTAGCCCAGGGTGGTCTTGAACTCAAGATGAACCTCCTGCCTCAGCCTCCCGAGTGCCGGGATGACAGGTCGGCGCCACCATGCCCAGCTCTTCATTAGCACTTTTATTGTTATTATTTCTAGTTCACGTCTACAGTGGATAATGTTTACATTCATGGTGGGTACTTGGTACAGTACGTGACCCATCTTAAATCTTTTTACTTCCCCTCCCCCTTGCTCTGGATTTCCTGGTGCACTTACCATCTGCAGAACATCTACCTCCCTGTATCCTCCCATTAATCCTTTATTTTTCCCTTTATGTACTTGTTCTTGGCCTCACTCAAATGACAAATGCCATACAGCATTCAAGCTTGTGCGTCTGATTTATTTCACTCAACACTGTATTTTCCAGGCGTGTCCATTTTCCTGCAAAGTCTCAAATTTATCCTTCATTTGGCCAATAGCAGTGCAGTATCTGTACAGTTTCTTTACTCAACTCAGAATTTTAAATGGGGTGTAACATTAAAGAGAAGCAGCTGACCAAGTTTTTATAATGACGGCATGAAACACATTCGATATTAGCTAAAATTCTCTACTTTAAAATCCTGGAAGAGAACATTTTTTTCTGCAAGATACAACTGCACTGTTTTAAAATAAATGCCACAAGAAAGAAAGTAATGAAGCATATTTTAATCCAGAAACAACAGCATATCATTACAATGTAGTGAGGAATAAACATGAGAATGATAATACATTTACAGTATAATTTCTAGAAATTTAAAGTATAACTCTCTGAAAACTTAGGTACACGAAAGCCATTAAAGAAATGCCCATGTAAAAATTAAATGCATAAATACTACAATGCCTTACAAAGAACCGAAATATATACCCTGAAAACTTTCACTGAGGGGTAGGTACATGTACGTAACACATTGCTTACGTACATTGGTTAGCTACATTTTCTCATTCCTTGTTGCACAGCAGGGAGTTCAGTACACGTACTCTTGCTTTCAAGAGAAACGCTGCCTCTTAGGTTGAGACCGTAGAACAGGAGTATTAGCTGTCTGTGAGGATGCCCTGCCCTCCAGTGGTATCTGCCGCAATACTCTGAGCGCACCTTTCAACACTGCGGGGGGAAGACACAGCCCTTCCACACGCACATGCCGAACGTATATCACACTGTACGGCAGCATCTGATTTTCCTTCCGTCGCAGCTTCTGTCTCTGTCTGCACCCCTGTGTCACGTTTCACAACCTGCACAATGCAGCTACTGGTTTTGTTTTCCACTGCGTGTGCTAAATTGCACTGGGACTGTGGAAACTGATCTGCATTATTTTTTATTGAATGCTGATAAAATTTCTCATTTTGGTTGTGAAATGTGGCGTTGTTGCTAACAATCCTATTATCAGAAAGTTCCACGGTCCTTTCTAGATAAAAATCATTACTTGTTTCTGTGGTTTGGGTGGATATCTTATGTGAGTCTCCAGTTTGTTGCAGTATTTGGTCTTCATCTTCAGATGGCTAAAAGAAATAATTTAGCTGTAAATAATCTTACATTTAAAAAAAGCAATCACTTTAAAACACAACATCTTTTAACGTTCACTTTATAAGGAACTGCTAAATTTAGGAGGGATTCTAGCTGGTTATAAATCAAAGCAAATGTACTAATTTTTTTTTTTGAGACAGGGTCTTGCTATACAGTTCAGGTTGGTCTTGAGCTTAGTCTGTAGCACAGGCTGGCCTCAAACTCAGATTGATCCTCCTGCCTCAGCCTCCCAAGTGCTGGGGTTACTGGCGTGCACCACCACGCCCGGCAGATGTACTATTAAAGAGTCTTCAATCTACCACATGTCCCAGTTGGTTATGGATTTTAAAAAAGCAAGAACAATAATAATAATTTTTATAATAAAAATCCAAAAGAGCTAAAAAAGAGATGAAGAATCTTCTCTCTTCTCAATATCTGTAATCATAGGTGCATCATACTACTAAACTTTCATAAAGAAATGATAGACAAATGCTCATATCTCATACTGAGTAAGTAATTTAAAGATAACAATATGCAATGTATTAACCATTATTACCTTCCTATCATATTGTTTTGGAGGTTTGTTTTTTTGGTTTTTTTTTTGTTTGTTTTTTGGGAAAAGGGGATTTAGGTAAAATCTCTGAAGGGAACAACTAATACATGTGATTTTTATTATTTATTCATTCAATCATTAAGTCAAAAAAATACTTATGGCCCATCCCATTAAAGATACAGTATATCCAAAGGAGATAATATAAGAAGAGTATCAGCTAAAAGGAAATCAAGAAAAGCTTAACAGCAATAGATATCTCAACTGTTATCTAAAAAAGACAACCTTGACCTTTTAAGAGGTCTAGATTTCAATGTGTTACGGTGAAGTTTTCAATTTCATGAAAATGTATGTTCCATTAATGGAAATAATAGAACATATCTCATGTAAATATGTTTGTAAAAATCTTATATTAAAAAGTATTGGTTATTCAAGCTAAAGGCAGGGGGCAAAGTTACTGCAAAAAAATAAAAGTAAAAAACTAGAACGGGGTCTAGGCCTGGGGTGGTCAGCAATGAAATAGCAAAAGCTCAAGAAATAGCATTCAAACTGAGCACAAACTGGAGAAAGCGATAAACACATATTCATTCGCTAAACGGCATCTGAAATGTGAGCGAAACAAAACGGCCGCTGTTCTCGTGCACATGTAACAGGTGCCAGCGAAATCCGTCAAGCGCTCCTCCACACGCACGTGTACCTACGCCTGACAGAAGCATTAGGAAGGACAAGGACGGGGCAGCTAAAAACAAACTCAGGGGCCATAAAGGGACGTCTGGAACACGTGACATACTTAATCTGAGCTCTACAGGATGACTAGGCCCAAGGCTGAGGAAACAAGGTCTAAAAACCCTGAAGAAGAAAAGAGGCTAGGAAACTGAAGAAAGTGAAAGGTCAGAACGTGTGGACGAGGAGAAGGGAAGAGAAGGAACAGAGAGTCAGCCAGGAGCAGGCCGCACGGGGCCGCAGCCTCTGCAGAGTCCACATGTTAGAGTAAAACGAGGCCCCAGCTGAGCAGAGACCCACGCCTGTCACACCGGCCACTTGGGAGGCTGAGGCTCGAGGCCGGCCTAGGCTACTTGGTGAGACTTTGCCGCAAAATAAAGGACTGGGCTCAGGCGCCAGTGCGGGGCGGAAGGGTACGAGAGCAGGGGCCCACCGAATATTTACACGTGGGAGTAGCGTGATTCATTTTCTGCTTTCAGAGAAAACTGTGTCTGAGAGCTAGAAAAGGAAATGGGACAAGAAAAGTAAAGCGATGTCTCACAACGCAAGCACAACAGTTCACGGCAATCCCGAAGCTGAGGGAAGTAGGTACACTTGCAATTTATTTTACAGACAGAACTGCAGGACAGACGAAGTGATAAATGTGGCTGGGGGCGCAGATGAGACGAAGAAGAAAGGACAAGGTTATACTGGGCTAAGATTCTGATATGAGAAATAGCATAAAGGCTGATTTGGGGAAAGCCAGTGGGTATTCAGGATGAAGTATAGAGTGAGGACATCTACGAAGTATCCGAGATGACAGGTGCCACGGGAAGCCGAACAATTCAGGAAGGGTCGGACGAAGTCACACTGCTGGGAACTGCCAGCACTGGGACAGGAAGCAAGGTCAGCGGAGGGCAGAACGTCATTACCAGTTTAGAGGGCAGGTTAGCAGAAAAGGTCCTGTTTCAAACCGTGAACGTCAGTTACGTAGGAGGCACGGCAGAGGAGAAGGGCGCAAAGGCATAAAGTAGCACTCACGGAGGTGTCCAGGGAAAACAAGACACTATGTGACCATACAAGCAAAGAGACACAAATGTTCTTAAAAGACCAGAATACCTTCTACTTCCACTAGGAGTTCTTACAAGATAAACACTGAAAGGTATCGAGTGAATTTGGCAACACAGAAGTCACCGGCGTCATTCTGTAGCAAGGGCAGTTTGGATGACAAAACAGAGATAAAAGGTAGGAAGAATGAGGGTGGGAGAGTACAGAGAGGGTAATTCCATTTACATCTGTAATGTATTAGAAATGCAGCACTGCTACTCAAAATATGTTACTCCAATTACGTGAGATTTAGTTTTAATAACATTATGTAGTTTTTATATGCCTCGAGACTTTCTATTTGAATGGATGTATTTTATTTTTCTAATTACTATAAGTCCCTTATTTCTACTTCTATTATTGATTCAAATTTTTTCATAATGTAAAAGTAAACCAGCATAAAAATAAGGAACTCTAAATTAATACATATGTATTAATAAGTGAAAAAGAAGCACAACTTACCATCTCCGAACTGGAACTAAAACAGCTCTCCGTTGGCCTGGGAGAGTAACTGGAGCACTGACTGCCCTGGGAAGAATCGAGATCTGAAAACGAAGGTTCAGAGCATGAAGAATGGTATTTATTAATACTGCACAAAATCCACAGAGCAGAACATACGCAGCTGTAGATGTATATTTAGCTAACAAAACAACAGCATTTAAAAACTGCAGACTTAGTTAAAAGTGTATACATAGCACCTTGCATTTCTAGATGACATTGGGATTTATTTTACCTTTAAAAGATCTGCATCTAAAGTAAAAAAGAGGTACACAAGGGGAGAACAGCAGAACAGGGAAAGCTGCACTGATTTTTCCAATATATGAACCTTGTTATGAACAAATAATTTAAAATGTCAACTTGTAGAAAGAGGAAAAAGCTGAGTTTATTAAGTCCCAAAGCACCAGATGTTTCTAATCAAGCAAATGAAACTTCATTCTGCAATCAAAACTGTATGAAAAACATCTATTCAAACCACCCAATATTATATCCTTGCACTATCTGCTTAACACATTATCTTATGATTTAAGTTTAAAAGTAGACTACAAAGTAAGTCCTGACCCCCTACCCCATTTAAAAACTATAGAGTTAACAGTAACTCGACTATTCCAGTCCCCTTACTTACAAAAACGGTTCCCTATCAAGAAAAGCAAGAGGCAGTGGAAGGCAGAGCAGCTCATATCAAATCCTAACCTCCTACGCGCAATAAACCCTCCGCACTCCGCGTCTGTGCCTCGGGTTGGAACGACTCTCTCCACAATATTATCTAACTTCAGCCAGCTGAGAGGCAGCAAACACTCATCCCAACTCTGAAACTTATTTCATTACCTTTTTTTTTTTTTTTTTGGTTTTTTTCTCCGGTACCGGGAACCGAACTCATGACCTTGCGCTTGCCAGGCAGGCGCTTTTGCCGCTGAGCTAAATCCCCAGCCCCTTCATTACCTTTAAAATAAATTTATTTCCAGAGAACAAATTCTGTCTGACAGCAGAAAATATAACCCAGAAAAGTGAAAGGTAAGATTTCATTACTAAGAACACAACCTAAGGACCTTTCCTAAGAGGTTGAGTGCACAGTTACTATGAACCCAGTCAGCAGCAGCAGAGCATGAACATCTTACTTGTCACAGGCAGCAAAGGACAGGTGGATGAAAATGGAAATTCAGCTGAACACTTACTGAGCAACTATGTAAGGCACTATGCTAATTACTAGGGACCTGTGTCCGTAAGCCTCAAAGTGTTCCTGATGTAGTCAAGAAAGAATTTTTTTTCCAAAAGTCAGAAAACAAGATATGGTAACAGAAGTCACAGAAGATACAAAAAAATAGTAAAGACTCGAGTATGATGAGCTCTAGTTAAAGGAAAATTTACAGATTTAAAGTGAAAATGTGAATAAAGAAATGCAGTTTTAAATAGTGAATAAACATTTTCCAAGAAGACAAGACAAAAAATAGTACATGCACGGGTACACCTAGATATTCTTAAAAGTTAGTCTCTGTGTATGTGGTACTGGGGATTGAACACAGGGATTTTGGATGGAGCTACATCCTCAGAATTTTTAAAAACAGTTTTATGTTGAGACACTATCTCACTAAGTTGCTAAAATTACCCACTATAGGCTCAAACTTGGTGATCCCCCAGCCTCAGCTTTCCGGAGTGTTGGGCTAAAAACGTGCAGCAGCATGCCTGAGTAGGAAGCTACAGTTCAAGTTATGCACTAAGACCCCCAGCTGGGCAGACTGCTGAAAAGTGAGCGTTGACGGAAGTTGGTCAGCAGATTAAATGCACAATCTAGTTATGCGTGATGAGGATCTGTAACACAGTAGAGAAATTCCGATGGAAAAGAGGCAAACGATTCAAATGTCCAAAAAGCTTTTAGCTAGTCTCAGTTTCAACAATCAGGTAGCTTTTAAAATTCTTTTGAATCTGATATAACATCAATATCAAAATATGACAAACGATTTCTACAGAAAATAAATCTCATGAATCAAAAATCCTACAATAAATAAAAAATAGAAAAAAATTGAAACAAAGACTTCCATAATGCGCTATGATTCAGTGGAATTTATTACAAGAATGCTATGGTGACCCCAATTATGAAATTCATTCATCAGATTCACTCTTTTTAAAGAGCGGTATCACAAAGGTATATCATCATCCCGTTACAATGGCCAGGATCAGACTTCTGGGAAGACAGCGGAATGGTGAGCAGCAGAGAAACAGCCCCTCCGATATTTGTAATCCAGATGTTGGAAAGTGACAACACGAGGAACAGGAGGAGAAGGAGGGAAGTGGGTCCCAGGACCCAGAAAGAACCTGAAGTGAGAGTTACACCCCATGGGGAGAGAGAAGACAGGGACTACAAGGCAGAAGAGCGAGGTGGCAAGCAGCGCTTTCTCCTTGAGCGCTGCCTGGCAGCACGGCAGGGGCAGCTTGAACCTGCTGAGGCTTGGTGACTACTGGAAGCCTTAGAGGCCTCCACAGAGAAATGCACCAGTGGAGCAGAGGAGAGAGAGGATGTTGCAGACTGCAGAGGCTGGTGAGTTATTTGGGTTCACATGCCCCCAGAAAAAGGGCAACTGGCCAGTGGTCATTTTAGAAGGGGTCAACAGAGCTCAGAGTTCACAGCAGCTATGGGCTAGCTCCATTTAGTGGCTCTAAGTGTCAGGGTGAGGCTCAGCTGAGTTCAAGATGGCAGGAGTCAGGGAGCTGAGTTCAAGCTGCCAGAGGTCATGGAGCCAGCACGGAAGCAAGTTCAAGCCAGCAGGAGGCACCCCAAGTGTTGTGGGCTAAAAATCTCAAGCCCAAGCCTCACAGCCAGACACCAGAAGCAGCCTGAACTTCAGTGGAGCTAAAGTCCCAAGTTTTCTGGGATTACCTACCAATATCATAATTCTACTGCCGACTTGCTGAGATTAATCAACATGGATCTGGGCTCTCTCTGCCCTCTCTCTCTCAACCAGTGACAGCAGAGACATGGACATGTTTTGGTTTTTGTTTTGCTTCCTTTTTTTTTAACTTTCTTTATTTTTTTCTACTTTTTTCTCTTTTTCTTCTTTGTTCTTGTTTTTGTATGAGTGAGAAACCTGGTTCCAGTTTCTTCTTTTTGCTGATTTGTTCTCTTATTTGCTTCTTCCTTCTTTCTTTTACTCCTGTCTTTTTCATCAATTCCCAAAGCTTGTGTAATCTACCTTTATCCTCCAGCCTTGCTTCTAATCTTTCTTTTATTTCTCTATTTTTTCCCTAACCCTTTAAAATTTTCTCTCCATAGGGTAAGAATCACCAAATTGAGGGATATTCACTGTACACAATTTTCTGGTTGGTTTTAGATTTTGTTATATAACTATAAATCTTGTTGATATGGTTAAGGTGACAAATAGTTGCCATAATTTGTCATTTTTTAGGCTGTATTTGATTATTATTAATGTTGTACTACTTTAGCCAAGGTAACATAATTGTTCCAATCAGGTGTTGTTCCTTGTATGCCAAGACTGAGAATGCCTGAGGGACATAAACACTAGTGCAGGCCAGTACCAAAGAACCAGGGGCTAGGCAAAATAGGCAGCAATATCTTATCCCCAGTGAATTGAAGAGTCAGGCTCTCGCAACAGCTCAAAACGCAAAGGCAGCTACATATGGAAGACAACCCTGAGTAGTCGTCATTTGCTAAGGGTTCTTGATAGTAGCAATAAAGATACCTACCATAAACAATGTACAAGAATCAGTAAAGGAACTTAAGAAACAAAATAAAAAGATACATAAGCAAGATGAAACCCCCCCTTAATTCCAGCTCACCAAAGTCAAACACAGGGGGTGATAAGCAGGGATAATTCAAAAGCCACCCACCTACACTCTCCCAAGTGGCAACGGTGGAAGTCACAAAGCAAATTAATAAGGTTCTAGAAAAACATCAAGTCAGAAATAATTTCTCAGGTAACTTCAGAAATGATGACCATAATGAAGAGCATGATCAATGAATCTAGAGAAGATATAGATAAAAAAGAAATAGAAGAGTTTAGGAAAATGATGGAAACCATGAATGCCCAACATAGGAAAGAAATGGGATCCATTAAACAGATTCAATCAGGTATCTAGGAGATTAAAATTTCTATTAGAAGTATACACAATAGAATAACCCAATGTAAGGACAGACTATCAGATCTAGAAGCTAGGACTGCAGTTAGCAATCAGGAAAAGAAATATTTCCTAAAATTAGCAAGGGACCATGAAAAATCAATCCAATACCTGCTAGATAATGAAAAGAAGAGTAACATAAGATTGACTGGAGTCAATGCAAAAGCAAGATATAGCACAAACAACATAAAAAGCCTGTTCACAGAACTAATGGCAGAAAACTTCCCTGACAGGGAAAAAGAATTTGACATACAGATAAGTGAGGCATATATAACTACAATTAGCCATGATTAAAAAAAAATTCTACCACAAGGCATATAATAGAATTCCAAAAATTCAACACAAGAACACAATATTAAAAGCCATTAGAAAAAAGGAACAAACCACTTATAAAGGAAAGCCCATCAGAATTATAGCACATTTCTCAACACAAAACCTTAAGAAGAGCTTGGAGTAAAATAATTTAAACCCTAAACAATCTGCAACCAAGAATGACGTACTCTGCAAAGTTATCTTTCAAAACTGATGTAGAAATAAAATCCTTTTATAATAAAGAACACCTAAGGAAATTCATGATCATTAAAAAAGCACTCCAAAGACTTCTAAATGATAGTCTAGAAAAAGACAATAATGACAACAGTTCCAAGAATCCCAACAGAATGAATCCACCACAAAAGGCAAGTAATTAAATGGAAGGGAAAGAAAGGTAATGCACAACAGGAAAATAATAAGATGACAAGGACAAGTCCTACCTATCAGTTACAATCATCAATGTGGGCGGTCTCACTTCACCAATCAAAGAAACACATTGGCAGAATGGATTAAAAACCAAGATCCAATAATATGTTGTATACAAGAAATACATTTAACTCAAAAAGAAATTCATAGACTCAAAGTCGAAGGATGGAAAGCAATACTCCATGCAACAGGAACTGGGAAAAAAAAGCAGGGATAGCTATTCTATCTGCAGAAAAAGTGGATTTCAAGCCAAGACTGATCAAGAGAGACAAAGAAGGTCACTACATCCTTGTTAAGGGAACAACCCAAGAGAAAAAGATAACACTCATAAAATACATACGCACAAAACACTGGTGAACCGAACTATAAAAAACACAAATAGATATGAAAAATTAGATAGGCACTAATACAATTTTAATGGGCAACATCAATACTCACTGTCACAAATAGATCAACCAGACAAAAAAAATCAATGAAGAAATATCAGAACTGAACCACATTTTTGAATAAATGCGCTTAGTAGATGTCTACAGAGTGTTCCACCCCACAACTTCAGAATACACATTCTCCCCAGCTGCACACAGGAGGTTCTCCAAATCACATACTAGCTCATAGAACATGCTTAATTTAAGTAAATGCAGAGGAATCACAATTATCCCATGCATAGTACCAGACCATAGTGCAATAAGATTGGAAACCAGTGACAAAAGAAATCACAACAACTTCATAAACACATGGAAATTAAATAACACTCTCCTGAACAACCAATGAGTTACAGATGAAATTAAAGAAATAATTAGACAGTTTTTACAATTAAACGATAAAGTCACTACAACATATAAGAACTTATGGGTCACAATGAAAGAAGTCCTACGAGGGATGTGGCAGGTACAACTGTAGATAGATACAGATATATAAAAGACACATCCCATAAAGAAAACCAGGCTTACTAAAAGAAACACAGAAAAAGACATGAGATATATTTCACAGATGAAACACAGATAGCCAATTAGCTAAACTGGTATTCAGAGAAATATAAATTAAAACTACAATGATACCAGATTACCAACAATGACAGAGAACTGGCATAGTAGCAGTGAAACAATGTGACTAAGACTGTCCTTTGCTGGTGCAGGTTAAACAGGCATAAACATCTTAGAAAACAATTCTGCTTATCAAAAGAGGTACAGATGTGCCTGGCATAAGAACTGGGAATTCTATTCCTAGACATACGCTAGAGGAACTTCATAAATGTATACCAGAAAAACTATCAAGAACAGCAAAGAGAAAAATATTTAAAACAATTAAATACCATTGCCAGAGACACATAAAATTTTTTTTGGTACATTCACAAAACAGAATGCTATATAACAGTAACAAAAAATAAAATGTACTAGAGGCACAAATATCAAACAGGATGAACATCAAAATATAATACTGGATGGAGAAAAGACAGTTTCAGATAAAGTTCCTTCACCATACAGATTTAAAATCAAGCAATGGAAAGTCTGTATGTGATTATATCACACACATACAGAAATAAGAACAAATTCAGGATAATAGTTACCTCTAGGGGGCAGGATAGGAAATGGAATCGAGGACATTTTCAAAAGTACAGTACTTACATTATTTCTTAAACTACATAGTTGAGAACAGGGATATTTGTTCCAGGATTTGTTAAACTATACATTTACCTTATGTATATTCATCATATATATGTTGTAAAAGATATGAAGTAATTTTTCAAAGTCAATTGCATTGCTAGTACAAACTAAGATACCTAGAAAATACTTATTTGCTGGTAAAAAATTTTAAACCCCTTATAATTTAATTGATTTCTATTTAATTTTTAGTTTTCCAAAGAACAAAATTCACTTATATAGTTACCCTGGCAGATTTTCTTAGATACTGGCCCGCCTTTTAAAGAACATGTTCCTTCTTTCATAATCTAGAAGAAAATAAAAATATTAGCAATTTCCAAGTGTACATGATAACACCCACTCGTAACTGTTCTATCAATATTATCAATTCATTTTATAATACTCTTTCTTTATACTATTTTAATTCAACAAAGATGATTTCACAAAAAGAAATTAGCCTGAGAACTACAAGATGAGATTTAAATTGGTTTAGAAATAGCAAGCAATAGAATAGACACCTGCTAAGAAAAAAAAAAATAAAAGGCTTCAAGTAATCATAGTAAGTGCGGATAAAGAGAGACAGGAACCTAAACTACTTTGTTCTTTTTTCTTTCTGATTTCTTGAGTCACCCAGTTGTTATTTATGTGCTTTTTGAAAAAGCAGTAAAAGCTTAGCACTATAAATTTTCTATAAAACACAATATAGGCTTTTATTTTCATCACTCTCTATATAACTTATAACTTATTTTTATTTCCTTTCAAATAAACCAGAGTGTTTCTTAATTTCCAGGACGTTAAAGGAAGTTAAGCAGCATGTTTTGGTTAACTTCAAACTTTTTAAATTTTGATTAGAAACTAGATATGAACCTCTCCTTTGCTAAATTTTTATATTTTCTTTATGGCCTACTACATGAATTACACTTGTAAATATATCACAAATTAAAAGAAAATGTTTTCTATATAGTCTCTGTGGGTAGGATACTGAGTTACTTCAGACAGATGGGGTAAAGGACAAACTGTCTAGCCATCCACGAAACCTGATTCTTCCTGGACATACAGCTAGACTAACTTCCTAGCCTCCCTTGCGGTTGGTCTGGACACACAATTTAATCTCTGATTATAGGCAGAGATTAACATACAGTAGGAGGCCCACAGAAATTGTCTTCGCAGTTCTCCACCTCCCATTCCCTCTCTGCAGCAGGCTTTCGTGACTGCTGTCAGGAACGCGTTTATCTTCTACTCTGCTCTTTTCTGAATGGCTGTTTACTTCATTTTCATTGTCATTGCTCAAATACTACAGGTTTTCTTCATTTTATATATGTTTAACCTCTGTTACGATGTTCTGCACCTAGTTCCTACAAAATGTATAGATTTCTTCTTCTCAATGTGATACGCTTTGCAATCTTAGTAGGAAGAGTCAGCTGTCTCATAACTAATGCGTTAGTAATTTCTAAGCAGATTTCCTTCCTTACATTTGATGCAGAACTTCTATTCCGCTTTCTCCCCTTTGATCAGGATTCCTCATATGACAACACCACTTCTTTGAGTTTTTAAATTCTTCCATGTGCCTCCGTTTTTCCAGCAATTACCTTCCCATTTTAAACGATCATACTTAAATCTTCCTTTTCTACCATAAAATTAAACGTGTACCTGTGCTCCTCGTATTCTCTTCCACCTCCAACAAGAGGATCACGGGAACACAACTTCCTCATTCTCAACTGTCAAGAGGTGTGTTTTGTGCTGTTTACCTGTGACTTAGCTCTTCTGTCTCCACACTAGTTCTTCTCCATAGAAACTAGAGCCCACATTGAGTTTGCTTACTCAGTTGGCATATCAGCCCTGAGCGCCCCGGTGCTGCTCTCCTCTTCTCCTCTCCTGCAGTGACCGGTGCCTTGCCTCCTCTGGTAGAATCGAAGACCTAAGCCAGGACCCACTGTACCTCTGACTCTGAAGAGGTATCACAAATTTAAAACCCACCCCTGCTCTACCCAAAGAATTTCTTCACTGAACCTCGTTCCTTTTAAGGCTTTACGAAAAGCATTTTGTTTCTGATTAGCCCTACCAACTTTCAGCTGCCAGCTTTCTAGACTCCAATGTAGTGTGAGTTTATTTGTATTTTAAGAGTCCAGTCCCGTGAATTACACAGAGCTTCTAATATGGTTACAACAACAACAACAACAACAAAATAGCCTTTTTGTGAGGACCTTGCACTCGCCAGGCAGGCGCCTGTGCCGCAGAGCTATAGCCCTGCTTCTCCATATTCTTCTACCTATGTCCAAAATAGCACATTAAAACCTAAACCATTTTTATGTTTTAAGAAATTTTATAGTTCATAGAGAAGACATTTAAATGTGTCTTGGGGTACAGCTCAGCGGTACGGCACCTGCCTGGCAAGCACAAGGTCATGAGTTTGATTCCCAGTACCAAAAAAAAGCAAAATATATCTAGATTAGTATCAAGAACATTACAGTTTAAAAGGTGCTTTTACTTCTAAATCTAAGTCATGAGTTTACAAGTGTAAGAAAATATGAGGAAAACAGTATCCAGAAAAAGTTTTTAATGCAAGCTAACCTTATGTCAAAGTAGTGTAAACTCTAAGTATTAAAATACGATGAAACATACATAACTTCATAGGAAAGATAGCATGACAGTGTGCTTCACCTCAGCAAGTCCAAAGGGCCCTGCCTGGGTAGGGTGCAGTTCTTCCAAAGGGCTAGTGCACCTAAGGGTTATAAATGACACAGTATTAGTGTTTGTTGTATTCTCGCTTAAAGTTATCGCTTTCAACTATGACTTTAAAACTTGGCTTCAGAAAAGTATATTGGAAGCTTTTCAAAAAATAAGTATGTGTAAACTCCATGCTAAGGAGCTTATTTATTATATATGGGTCAAACTGCATTCTACTGGTTTACAATCACCCCTCTCAAGTACGTGTAGATCTGCAGACAGGTTTAGGGACCACATTCTGAAGCACTTAACACTTTAAAATTCAAGGGCTTACACAGAGTTTTTCACTTGTAAATTTCTGCATATTTGGAAAGCAAAGAACTTAGTATGCTAATGAGAACAATTAAGAGTCTACATTTTAATTGCATATGCTACTCCCACAAAAAGGGCATACAGATATTTAAAAGATTTCCCTAGGAAACCATATCCTGGATAAAAATATGTTCTAGCTAATTATTCTCCGTTACGAAGGTATGATAAATCGGGGTTCAGTGTAGAAGGGTTTCTCCGGGGCACTCTCTCCCTGTGCTACAGCACAGGCCCTGTTACAATGAAGACTGTAAACAAAAGATTAACTGTTGCCAAGGAAGGACTGTTCAGAAACTACCAGCTGAGATAAACGTTTCTTCACCTGTGCAGGGGCGCCTCAGTTCACGAACTTAATTCTTTGCCTCAACTCTATTCACAAACGGAACTGGACGAGAACCAGATCAAACTTTCCCATTCGGCCAACGCTGAGCCTACCCAATGAATTAGATTCAGTTCTCACCCAACTCTGTCTGCGGCTAGAATCGTAAAGAACTAAGTCTGTGAACCAAGCTACCACTGTAATTGCAGACCATTATGTAAAAGAGTCAGTAACAAACAGCCCCCAAAACTAAAGAATAAGTGAAATATCAAGCAACAATAGATTAAATTAAAAGCTCATTAAATACATTTTCTACACCAGCACCAAGAAGCTGCACCAAGATCTGATGGGGCATAATTGTTTTCACATAAAAATGCCCCAATGATAGGGTAGAAGAAAAAAAGAGTAATCTTGAACACAGAGGATGCAGGGAGTCTCTGACAGGTACACACTGGCAATGAAGAGACAGCTCCACAACACACAGTCACGTAAACTGGCGCTGATATGCATATGTATGCCACGGACAGGAATTCTATTACTCTTTGTTCTGATTTTCTACCAACCACACAACCCTCCCAGGAGGTCCTAAGGAAGTCGTGCTCTTCATGCCAGGAAGCAGTCCTACACACATGAGCCTTCTATTTCTTAGTGTGAATAAGTAAACTGACATTCTGGTGGATATACAAACACATCAGGCAGTTTCTCACGTGGGATATTCAGGTAAGGAGGTATTTGGGGACTGGCAAGCGTGAACTCTGTATTCTCAGGGAGAGTGATACTACCGAGACTGTGGGTACAGCAAGGCTTCTCCGTGGCCTGGTGGCTCACACTCAGGGACAGGCCTATGTCACTTTGCACTAGCTGATTCTTCAACAGGCTACATCCTACTACAGTTCCCTAAACGTACTAAAAACTTACACCGAGTTCACTGGATCTTCCTGGTTATTTTTCTGTGGCATCTTCTCTTGGTAATCATTTTTATTTTTTCCTGCAAAAACAAAACTATTGAGTTAAAAATTTAGCATAGTCTATTTTCATTTAACCAAAGTGCCTTACTGTGAGACATACGGAGGGGAAATCACTGGGCCCCAATGTCATATGATAGGAATTGCATTTTTGGCTTCGCATTCTCCTAACACACAAACTACATGGTCATCTCTTAGCAACTACAGGGGACCAGGACCTCCTTTAACCACTTCTACAGATACCAAAATCCATGCATGCTCAAATCTGTTACTTCAAGTGACTTAGTATCTGCCATGTGACCTACTCGTATCCCCCTGTATGGTTTAGGTACTCTCCAGATCTCTTACACAACAATGTAAATGCTATACAAGTAGCCTTGATTCTGTACTGGTCAAGGAATGATGGCAAGAAAAAAACAACACATGTATTCAATACTCAATGTTTTAAAATTATTTCAGGGCTGGGGATTTAGCTCAGCGGCAAAGCGCCTGCCTGGCAAGCACAAGATCGTGAGTTCGGTTCCCTGTACCGTAGAAAAACCAAAAAAAAAAAAAAATTATTTCAATACTGCATGGTTAGTTTAATCTGCTGATGGGGAACTTGTGGCTATAGAGGGCCAAATGTATGTGTGAATATACACATACACATGAAATATATAAAATAAAGCTAAAAATGAAACATAAATTATTCAATTTTCTAAGTATACTACTAACCTTGTTTTTCATAACTAGCTGGATAACAATCTTCAAAAACAATACTGAGATCACGTATTTCATTACTGTTGTGCTCTTTCTGATAGCTCTTGACTGGCTGACATTTTTCTGGACCACTTGTTTTATGAAAAGCAGAATCACTAAAAGTTGACTCTGGAACTGTAAAACTGCTCCGAACGCGTAAATCAGTGGAATGGTTTTCATCAGAATTCACAACTAAACAAGCCTTTCCCAAACTATCACAACCACGCTTGTCAAAAGTTTTCTGCATCATCTGTTGGTCTATACTTAACAAATCGATCATGTTCGGGCCAACAAAAGAGCCACCATTCTCTGGCAGAATACTCGGAGTTGGCTGGTTCACATCTTTAAGGAAATCTGAAATTTCTTTTCCATTTTCTCCCCAGATAGGTTGTGCTGCTTGTTTTCCAAAAATGAGGTCTGCCTGTCTTTCATTCGTGCTTTTCCAATCTTCATCCAAAGATATACCAGGCCTTGTTGTAAGGAAATTCCCATTTCCTGGACTTTGGAATAAATAAAACATTATTTTCCAAGAAAGATATAGTCCATGTCATTTATAAATACCAACATTAAAGTTCAATCTTTAGAAAGCAATAGGCAGTTAGTAACATTTATGCTTTTTAATATTTAAGTAAATAATACTGCTTTGGGTGGGAACGTACCTAATGTACTCTTCTACAGATCTCTTGAGTATGAAAATTTCAGGTTTTTAAGCATTCTAACACAGAAGAGTCAATCACTAATAGATCTGAAGAATAGAGATATGTGTAATCTATGGTTATCACCAGCAAGAAAGGTACAACATAAAAAACAAGGAAAAACTGCAAAGTAATAGGTGTTCTCCACAGTCAAATATTGCAACAGCAACCAGAACAGATTTTTTTGCTGAAAAAAATCAGGCATGTAGCATCTGATTTGGGGACTGAATGTATTCAATTCTAGAGATAACAGAAAAATGATGAAAAGAACTTAAAAAGAGATTTTCAGGAAGATGGCAGAGTGGTAAGGAGCCACAAATCAGCCTCTCCAAGATTCACAATCCAGACACCGGAAAATAATAACCTAAGGAAGAAAAGAAGGAGACAGGTAGGATCCTGGGACCCAGGAAGGATCTGATGAGAAAGCTGTAGTCTGCAGAGAAATTGAAGAGCCAGAACATAATGCAGAAAAAATGATGGGGCAACCTGCACTTTATCACTGGTTCCTGACCCAGGACTCCAAGAAAGAAGGCTGAACCTACAAGAAACATAGTGAACGTAGGGGCTGCCATCCTAATTTCAGATGAAATCAGCCAATACTGATCAGAAGAGATAAAGAAAGTCACAGCATATTGGTTAAGGGAACAGCTCGACGGGAATTATATATTCATCAAACACCAGTGCAACCAACTTCATGAAACAAAAACTAACGAGCATGATAAATCATAGGAACACCAATGTAATTGTAATGGGGCCTCTCAATAGCACACTCACAAACAGACAGATCAACTAGGCAAAAAAAATCATCAAAGAAGTATCAGAGTTGAACCAAGCCTTTGAACAAATGGACCTAAAAATCACCAGAGTACCCATTCTTCTCAGTAGCACATGGTAATTTCTCCAAAACAGACCACATATTAGACCATACAGCATGTTTACGCAAATGCAAAAGAACTGAAATTTTCCTATGCATAGTATCAGATTACAGTGCAGTGAGACTAGAAATCAACTGCAAAAGACACCGCAGAAGGTGTGCAACCATATGGGAATTAAATAATACCCTTTTAAATTATCATTAGATCACACAGAAAATTAAAGAAGAAATTAGACAGTTTCTGCAATCAAACAACAATGTCAGTACTGAATTCTAGAACCTATGACACACAATGAAAGCAGTTGTAAGAGGGAAGTGTACAGCAGTGAATTCCCACATTAGAAAAACAGAACGCATTCAGATAAATAACCTAATCATGTGCTTCAAGGTCCTAGAAAAACAAGAACAACTGCAATCTAAAACTAGTGCAAGGAAGGAATTATAAAAAGCAGAGCAGAAATCAATATAACTGAATCAATGGAATCAATGTAATGTTAAAAAAATACAATGAATCAATGAATTGAAGAGTTGGTTCTTTGAAACAAACCCTTGACTCAAATCCAGGGAATTAGAAATGAAAAAGGCTAAATCACAATGGATTCTGCCAAAATGCAGAGTATTACTGTTAACTTCTTTGAGGACCTGAACTCTGCTAAATGGGTAACTCATAAGAAATGGTTAAATTCCTAGATTTATATGAACTACCAGATCTGAACCAAGATGATATAAAAAATTTTTAAAAGCCAGTATCAGTCAATAAAACTGAAGAAATACTAAAATAAAATTACCAAGAAAAGCCTAGGTCACAACAGATTCTCTGCCAAATTCCACAAAAACTTTAGAGAGGCTCTAATACCAATACTCCTCCAACTCTTTAATCAAATGGAAAGGGAACCATTACTTCCAAAGTCATTCCTGGAAGCCAGCATTGCCCAGATTCCAAAACCAGAAAAGGACCCAATAAAAAAAAAAAGAGAACTAAAGACCAATCTCTTTAATGATCATAGCTGCAAAAGTCCTTAATACTGGCAAACAGAATGCAGCAAAGCATCAGAAACATCATACATCATGACCAACTAGGATTCATTATAGAGATGCAGAGATGGGGGCTGGGGATTTAGCACACCGGCAAAGCGCCTGCCTGGCAAGCTCAAGGTTGTGAGTTCGGTTCCCGGTACCGGAGGAAAAAAAAAAAAAATAGAGATGCAGAGATGGTTTAACATACAAATCAATAAATGTACTTCACCACATAAACAGAAGCAAAAAACAAAAACCATGTAATCATCTCAACAAAGAAACAGCATTTCACAAAATTCAAAATTTATTCTTGATTTAAAAAAAAAAAAAACCCTCAACTAAATAGGAATAGAAGGTCTTTATCCTAATCCAATAAAAGCCATCTATGACAAACCATTGGCCATCATCATACTTAACAGAGAAAAGTTGAACTTTCTAAAATCAGGAACAAGACAAGGATGTCCACTATCAGCATTTTTGATTAACACAGTTCTCAAATATAAGCTATAGCAATTAGACAAGAGAAAGAAATAAAAGGGATATGGAACTACATTATCTGCAGATGATATGATTTTCTACACAGAAGACCCTAAAAACCACCAAAAGACTCCTAGAACTAATGACCAAATTCACTTGTATAGCAGGATATGAAGTCAACACTTAAAAATCAATAGCATTCCTGTATGACAATAACAAAACCACTGAGAGAGAAATTAGAGAAATAATAAATTTCACAACAGCATCAAGAAACATGAAATACTTAGGAATTAACCTAATCAAGAAAGTGAAAGACTATAACAACAAAAACTGTAATAATTCTGAAAAAGGAGACTGGAGCAGATACCACAAAATGGAAAGATAGTCCAGACTTTCTGGATAGGCAGGGCCAATACAGGCCAACGAGTCATACTTCTAAAACTGTTATAGAAATGTAAGCGATACCATTCAAAATACCAGTAACATTCTTACTGAACTGGAGAAAACAATCCTAGCTTTCACATGGAACCTGAAGAGACACAGCATAGCAAAAACAATTCTAGAAACAAGGGCAAGGCAGGGGTCATCACAATCCTGGACCTCAAGTTGTACTACAAAGCTAGTCATAAAAACAGCATGATATTGGCCAATAAAACTGGACCGTGGATCAGTGGAATAGAAGATACTCACACAACTCCAGGCATACTCAGCTATGCAATCTTTGACAAAGGGGCCAGATCTTTCACTGGAGGAAAGCTAGCCTCTTTACCAAATGAGGCTAGGAAAACTGGCCATCCACATGCCAAAGGTTGAACTTATGTCCACCTCTCCCCATGCACTGAACTAAAATCAAAATGGATCACAGATCTCAACATTAGATTTGTTGTATTTTTTTTAACATTACATTGATTCCATTGATTCAGTTACACTGATTTCTGCTCTGCTTTTTATAATTCCTTCCTTGCACTAGTTTTAGATTGAAGTTGTTCTTGTTTTTCTAGGACCTTGAAGCACATGATTAGGTTATTTATCTGAATGCGTTCTGTTTTTCTAATGTGGGAATTCACTGCTATAAACTTCCCTCTTACAACTGCTTTCATTGTGTGTCACAGGTTCTGGAATTCAGTACTGACATTGTTGTTTGATTGCAGGAAAAAAAAAAAAAAAAGGCCAAAAAATCAATTTTGTTAATCTTCTCAAAAAACTAATTCGGAGGTAAAAGTGATAAAGATACAATATGTACATGTATCAACCTCCAAAAACGAATGTAATCACTATGTACATAAACATATACTAGCAAATGTTTTAATAAATTAAAACAGCAACATTAAAAGAGACTTTTCAGGAATAAATGCTACAGCTTAAAAATGGCAAATTTCAAATAAACACCCTAATAATGCGTCCCAAAGACTTAGAAAATAACAAACTAAATCTAAATCATGCAATAAAACTAATTCTAAAGTTCAGAGAAGAATTGAATAGAGACTAACAATACTAAACATCAATGAAATAGAATTAGTTTTCTGAGAAGATTAACAAAATTGATTTTTTGGCCTTTTTTTTTTTTTTTTTTTTTTTGTCTTTTTGAGATAGGGTCTCACCGTGCAGTTCAGGCTGGCCTTCAGCTCACTTTGTAGCCCAGGCTGGCCTCAAACTTGCACAGTTCTCCTGCATGCTGGGATTCCAGGCATGTGTCACCATGCACGACAAAATTGACAAACCTATAGCTAAACTAAGAAAATAAGAGATGGCCCAAATAAATGAAATCACAGTTGGCAACAGAGACAATATAACTGATGTTACAGGATTAAAAAAAGATCATTAGGGAGTATCATGAAAAATGACATGCTCACAAACTGCAAAACCAGAGGATATGGGCAAATTTCTGAGTATGATCTACCAAAACTGGACCATGAAGACATAAATAATCTGCGTTTCCTCTGAAATGGAACAAGATAAGGATGCCCACTCTCACCTCTCTTATCCAAAATCATACTAGAAGCTTCAGCCAGTGTAATCAGCAAAGAAAGTAATAAAAAGCATACAAACAGGAAGGGAAGAATGCAATTATCCTTGTTTCCATATGATCTAATTTTACATAAAGGAAAACCTAAAGACTTCCCCAAAAGACTATTAGAACTGGTAAACTCAGCAAAGGATACAAAAGTCAACATAAAAATAAGTAGCTTCTCTATAAACCAATAATAAATCTGCAAAGAATGAAAGCAACCCTATTCACCACCAAAAATAAAAAATAAAATGCCTAGGAATAAATATAAGCATGGAAAAAATCTCTACAATGAAAATTATAAAACACCGATGAAAAAAACTTGAAGTCAGAGAAAGAGAGCTCTTCCATGTTCTTGGATTAGAAATATTAATTCTGTTAAAATGTCCATACTACACAAAGTGATCTAAAGATTCAATGTAATTTCCATCAAAATACAAATGAATTCTTTAAGAACTAGAAAAAATAATCTTAAAATTCATATGGAAGCACAAAAGATCCCAAATTATTAAAGTAATCCTGAGCAAAGAGAACAAAGCTGGAGTCATTATAATACCTGATTTCAAGATATGCTATAGAGCCACAGTAATCAAAACAACATGGCATTAGCATAAAAACAGAAACAGAGGCCAATTGGACAGAACAGAGATTCCAAAAATGAATTCATTCACCTACATCTAACTAATTTTCAACAAAGGGGCATAAACACACACTGGAGCAAGAAAAGCCTCTTCAATAAGTGGTGCTAGGAAAACTGTATATCTACATGTAGAAAATCAAAATTTGACTGCTCTCACTCTGCAAAAATCAACTTAAGATGAATCAAAGGCCTAAATGTATGATACAAAACTCTTCCATTACTGGAAGAAAACATAGGGGAAGTACTCCCAGATATTGGTATAAGCGATGATTTTCTGGATTAGACCCTAGAAGCACAGGAAATGCAGTCATGTACTAAGAAATGGCATCAGAGCGAGCTAACACGCTCTGTGCAGCAAAGGAAACGGAAGACAAGAAACAGCCTAAAGAATGGGACAAACGTGCAGACTATTCACCCGACAAAGGGTTACTAATAGCGACAATGTATAAGGAACTCTAAACATTTAAGGAAAAGTAATTTAAAAGTAATCTCATTAAATAGTGTTTAAGTGATCTGACCAAACACTTCTCAGAAAGAGCAGCAGAAATGGCCAACAAATGTGAAAAAGTGCTCATTATTACTAGCCATTAGGGAAATGCAAATCAAAATAATAATAAGGTATTATTTTACCCCAGTTTCTGGCTATTAAAAAAAAAATAGCAAATGCTGGAAAGAATGTTAAAATAGCAACCGTTGCCTACTAGTATAGCCATTATGAAGAACTGTATAGAGGTTCCTCAAAAAAAAAACCTAAAAAACCTGCCATATCATCAGCTATCCCACTTCTGAGTACACAGCCAAAGGAAATGAAATCAGCGTATCAGAGCGACACCTGCACGTCCATGTTTACTGCAGCACCATTCACGCTGGCTAAGATAAACGTGACGAAAATGTGATACCTATGCACGATGAGTTATTATTCGGCCATAGAGAATGGAATCTTGTCATTTGCAGCAGAATGTATCAAACTGGAGAACATTAGGTTATGTGAAAAAAGCCAGACACTGAAAGACAAGTACCACACGACTCCCATATGTGCAAGTTAGCACAAGTCCAGAGTGGAACACTGACTACTGGAGGAAGGGGACGTGTCAGCTGGGAAGGTGGAAGAAGGCAGGTTGGGTCTGATTGGCAAAACACACGCACAGAAGCATCACAGTGAATCCCATTAATAGGCACAATTAATATGTCTTAAAAGAACGTAAAAAAGTACTTATTTTAATTAATGATACATTTCACCTTTATAGAGATTTTTTTCTAAAATATATTACTTCGGTCTGTTTATATTTCTAATGAAAAATGTTTGCGACCCCTCAAATTAATAATTGAGAGCATGGACTGCTACAATTCTTTACTTCCCACAGCATCTTTGCTTACTTGTTTAACTCTTCAAATAATGCTCCAAATTTTGCTACTTCATACGGCGAATTGAGACCATCTTGACATTCACTTAATTTGGAAATTAAGGAATCAGAACACTTAACATTATTGAGCTGAAAAGAAATGGAAGAAAATGTCAAAATAGTCAATGTACATGCATACAATTTAAATTATTTATCAAAAATATCATTTAAGCGTACTATATCTTTATTTAACAGTGTACTTGTAGTCCAAAAGAAATTTTAGTCCTATTGAAAACATGATACTTTTCTAACAATGAAATCACTGTCAATATCTGAATGATTATTAAGATGGCAGAGAAAATATAGTGAACTATTTCCTCAGTATGAAAAGGTGACAAAAACAAAACAAGTAACACTATGATCTGAGTTAAATTTTCTGAAAGAAAAGAATAGTTTGTTTCAAGGAAACTGCCATAATTATCTCAGCTGTTCCATTTACTGAGCAATTTTAGACCACTACATTACTTTCCTGAGTGTGAATGTCACTCAGTGCAAAATGAGGGTGGTCTGTGAAGAACAATGGGAAGCAGGTGAGCATCCATTTTTACCGTGGAAGGTACGATAGACACATAACTTATAGGCTAACCTAACATGAATCTAATAATAATGGATATCTACAGCATTTCTCACTTTTAGCCCATGAAACACAGAAATGGGGAATCCAAAGCAATCATTTACAGAGAAAGAAGAGCAGAGTCGAGGTTTGCACAGTTGTGCAGACTGTAATCCAAGCACACACACTGGAAGGCCGAGGCTGAGGATCACTTGTGTCAACGTTTGAGACTACGCTGAGTAACAGGGAGACTGTCTCAGGAAAAAAACAAGAAGGGAATAAAGGAAAGGTAGAGACACTGAATGTCTCTGGTGGAAAAATTTTAAAATGGACTGAAATCTGAGACAGCTGATGCTAAGGCTCATCTAACTGATACGTCTCAGGCTCAGAAAGAAAGTGACTGAGCCACAGAGATACAGTCACCGGAAGTGACACAGGAACACACTGCCAAACAGGAAGTGGGGGGGAGTTCAGTGGTGACACAGTGTACCTGACTAGGGCGCCCTGGGTCCAGCCCCCCGGGCAGAAAAATAAAAGAGAGAAATGTAAATATAACACTTTAATTCTAACTGCTCTAGCAATCTCTCCAAAAAAGCTATTAAACACTTCGCTAATGCTTCAGGTATGACTTGAAGGGCATCAGCCACTCTTCTCGGTCTTCTGCCTTACTAGGTGTGACTTTTTACCTGTCTAGAGTTTGTCACTCACCTGCAGTGTATACAATGGATAGGCTAGAGGAGGTCGTTTCAGTAGCAATCACAGTGTTTTAGAATCTGTCCTACAAACTATACAGCAGCGAGAATGAATCATAATTTGATCTGGAATGCAAGATTTTGTCTTACAAGTAAAAGGATAATTGAATGTCTTTCATTACATCATTCAAAAATTATTTGGCCCTTAATAAGGCTAACAGATCACAGGAATTCAATAGCTAATTTTCTCCTCACCAAGGAACAATAAAACATACTTTGATAAAAACTTTAATAAAACTGACGTATATATTATACAATATATAATGTTAACACAGTATATGTAATAGTTTGTGAATTTACATATTTATTTTGGATTTATTTATAAATAATATAGTAAATGTGGCATAAAACCAGTACATGCTAAAAATAGGACAAATTTAAAACTAATTTATTTTTAAGTCTGATTTTTTTTTAAAGGGTTTCACTATGCAGTTCAGTCTGACCTTGAACTCACTTTGGAGGCCAGTCTGGCCTGGAACTCTCAATGATCCTCCTGCCTCAGCCTCCTGAGTGCCAGGATTACAGGTATACACCACCACACCTGATACAAATCTTTTTTTTTTGGCGGGGGTACTGCAAACCAAAGGGAGGACCTCATGCTTGCTAGGCCAGCACTAATTCTTAGCTCAGTGGCACAGTACCTGCCTGGCAAGCACAAGGTCCTGAGTTCAATTCTAGGTACCAAAAAATAAAAGAAAGAACTAAGTTTTAACAAGACATTTACATAACTATTTTTTTCATTGCCACTATCGTTATACAGTAACTTAATATTTTTATTTTAAAATTATGTCTGTATAGTTGATCATTTCTATGTATATTCTGTTTTGTTTTCTTTTGTTTTTTCCATTTCTTGAGATAGGATTTCAGTTTGTAGTGTAGGCTGGTTTTAACTCACTGTATAGCCCAGGTTGGCCTCAAACTCATGTCGATCTTCCCGGCTCGTCCTCCCAAGTGCTGGGATTACAGGTGTGCACCACTATGCCTGGCTGTATGTATATTCTAGCAGATATTTTAGAATTTAAAACTTTGAAATCTAGAAATTTAAATTTTTTAAAATGCCTGTATAGTCACCATATCACTAGTCATTTATAGTGATTATAAACATAACTACTGTAAAACACACTGAACTACTTTCAATTTTCTATTAACAATCCTCTAAAAGAATGATAATTTCTAAGGTTTATATAGAACACTCCTATTTTTGGATTCATAAACTTCTGCACTGCAGAAAATTTTTTTGACCAAAGATGAATTATGTTCATAATTTATCTAACTTGGTTAAATTTGTACCAATTTGCAATCTACATTTTTCAAATCTATAAAAAGAGGAAAAAGGGCTGAGGATTTAACTCAGGGGCACAGCGCCTGCCTGGCAAGTATAAGGTTGTGAGTTCGATTCCCAGTACCGGAAAAAAACCAAAAAGAAAAAAAATAAAATAAAAATAAAAAGAGGAAAAAATATATCATGTAAATACACTGATGTAAATGCTAAAATTTAATAATTCAAAGATACCTGGTCATTTTGCTTTTTTCCAAATGCAACCTTCAGAGGACAAGGCACTGCTGTGGGAGTGAAATTCTGTTTTGGAATATGTCGATCAGGAGATAATTCTGTTGAAAAAGATGGTGGAGTAAAACTGCAGTTTTCTGTTCTGCCGAACTGAGGTTCAAACACACTATATGAGTCCATAATTTGTGATGACTAGAGGAAAAAAAGATAAAGTCATTTAAAACTGTACAAACTAAAGAGGTCAGAAAAAAAATGAGAAATGAAGGAAAAAATGGAAACAACGTCTTTGAAAATAAGTGGGGGGGGAGGAGTTGAAGGGAGGGTGAGAGAAAGGGGAGAAAAAGAATCCAGATACGTCACGTACAGGTACAAACTCCCTATGATGAACGTGATCATTATGTACCTAAAATGTACCAGTAAATTTAATTTAAAAATAGTAAAAGTACAGTAAGTGATGAGGGCATAGGTTACCAAAGAAAAAGTCCTAAGGAAAGGGAAGCCAATCATGGGATTCACTAATGAAAGCGGTCATCAGAGCCGGCACTTAGTACTTCTTTCCCTGTGTATCGCTGCCTTTTGCTCCTGTCCACCTCAGGCTCCAGCCTATCTGCCACTCTCTGTGACAGGAGATCTGAATACCACTAACCACAAGTCAGGGTGTAGGGTTCTCAAGGGATGATTTTAGTGTCGCTGCTATTACTATTCTGGCAGATCAATGGGAAGAAAGAAGAGCTAACAGTATGGCACGAAACATTAAACAAAATTTCAAGCTTCAATCACAATCTGCATTTCAAGTTCATTAAAGTTTTGTTTACTAAGAAATACTTGTCACACTTTGAAGAAAAATCATTGGGATAAATGTAAGGACTGAATATCACTATTTGATATAAACAATTGTTTGAAGAGATAAACTGCTCAATAAACTTGTGAACTTAACAGAATCCCCTAAGGGAATTGCCTTCTGCAACTCTTCACTAGCAAGCAGAATCAAATGTTACACGCATACACGCCTATCACACTTCCCGTACCCCAAAGGATTCTCATAAGCAGTCAATTAAAATATCCTTAAGGTATGGGTTTTCTACCTTGGAAAGCTTTTTAATACTCATTTGAAAGAGTATAAATTTTTAAAGGTGAATTTTCTCCAATATTCAAAAATTTATTCAGTGGGATGTCACAGTTGTTAAAATACCTTATGAAAACATTTTTTAAAGTCCTACCTGAACTGGGCCACATCCTTCCTTGTTACCTAGTTCTTGACAATGTATATTACTGAAAAGAAAATTTTAAGGTGAAAAATACAAAAAGCAGTAAAATTAACTTTTTATATATTTAAAACTCATAGTGCTCTACACAACCATATGAAACATACCAAATTATAAGTAAATCATTCCAGAGTCATAACATTACTGAGTTTTATGAGGATTAAATAAACATTTTCATGATAAAAATGTGTACAAAATATGTAGGCCATTTAATAAAGGTCCTAATAGTTTTATAGTATCATCAGGCAAACAAAAATTGGGGTAAGAAGGTAAGTACCTTGTTCAGGCTACAATAAATGAAAGTCTTGATAATAAGTAATGTAAATACCTTGTAATAAAATACCAGCAAAAACTTACTTGTTTTCTGTATCATCAAGGCAGAGTTTAGAAGGAATATACTGAGGTGACATTGGAAGTTCTAACTCAAATTGTCTTAGAGGCATTTTTATGTCTCTATTCATGTTCACATGGATTGGTTTCTTCACAATTTCTACAGTGAAAAAATGTTAAATTATAATTTAAAGAAATATTTTAAAGCATTATTTGATATATCACAGTTACTAAGTAAATATGAATCTAAGAAATTTTACTGAAATACTTTCTAGACATGCTAGAAAAAGTCAATACAGTATTAACAACCGTCACATAATTTAAAACACCTCTCCTTAATCTTTTTATTTATTTATTTATTTTTTTGTCTTTTTGAGACAGGGTCTCTGCAATTTAGGCTGGCCTTGAGCTCACTTTGTAGCTCAGGCTGGTCTCGAACTTGCAACGATCCTCCTGCCTCAGCCTCCCAAATGCTGGAACTACAGGCCTGGCTCACCTTTCCTTAAATCTTACATACCCTTCAAGAATGGGGCCCTACTAATGTAGTTCTACTTTATCCTTCTGTTGGAGGATGTTCTGTCGTAAAGTTTCATCATGTTACATATTTTCTCTATTATAGCACTTTGCATACTTTGTTTTTGAGTTTTATCTCCCTCACTGGATTTTAAAATGTAAAGACTTGTCCCTTTTTATAGAAGATATACAGTTTTGTCGGTTCAGTACTTTTACCTACTCATCATTTCTGATAAATGTTTTTTATACCTACTCTCACAATATGTATCTAACGCAGACTGTATCTTCCTTTAAAACTCTCCCTCTCTGGGCAAAAGAGTTGGTTTAGGGGTAGTCATTTGATGACAAACAAACCAGTAATAAAATCCAACCCTTGCGTTTTAAGTTAAATTGTTCCATTACTAGGACCTTGGGCATGAGTAGAATTTAAAATTTGGAGACAAAGAAACAACTCTTTCTCTGGTTGCCAAACTAGGAGAAATTAGCCATATACATTACTTAAGGCCATGTTTTTTGAGCCTTAACGATAAATCTGAGAGCAGAAAGCTAATAGCTTACAGGAAAAAGAAACTGAATAGTACTCAAGTCCCTGATTCACGTTGCCTTGGAGGCCCATTTCATCATCCTTCCTTTTAGTTGAATGAGTAGATATAAAATGAGTAAAAATATGTGTAACTCTCTGCCTAGAAAGAATACAATAACTGATGCTACACCATGGTAAATTATGATCTAATAAATAAATTTTATAGAACACACATATAATGCCAAAACAAACACAAATGGACTAAGCAACAAAAGATGTAAAGCAAATATTAAGGTGCTAATTGAAGAGAACAACCAAATTTAAAATGAATTTTCTACATGCTTTGAATTCTAAAATTCAGACTAACTAGAAAGTTAAATGTTATTATAATCACATCAATGTCAAAGCAAAATGGTAACAGGAAGACTTACCAGGTGCTTTCTTCTTACAAGATATCTGATTTACTATATAAAGGTTAAGCAGGTCTAAACTGACTGTGGAATTTTTGACAGGAGACAAAGCTCCCAGTAATTTCATTTTTGATTTTAACCGATTCCTTTCAAAGTATTCCTAAAACACATAAAAAAATTAAATGTACCAAGTAGGTGGTTTAAGGTAAAATCATAAATAAAAAGCACAATGCTATTAACACATTAGTAATTTCACGTTTTTGTGACACTACCCTTATATTCTTACATACAAATTAAAGTCAATAATGTCGAACTTGAACCATGCCTAAAGATTCTAAGTTTCATAGCTTTTTATAATCTTTCTCTTGTTACCATAACTTTTAAGTTGGAACCTTAAAAGGTATTCCTAGGTATCAAAAGGTGAGAAATTATCTGTATACAGAAAAAAACTGATAAAACTGCTAATCTGCCACGTTAAAAACTTGTTTTCCTACTAAGTACGCTATCCTGCAAACACAAAAAGCCTTAAAAGATATAGCTAGGTGCCATTAAAAGTCAACTGAAGTGGGAAGGAAAAGCAGGTCTATAAGAACTAATCTAAAAAATACTTACTTCCTTCTATCCCTCTGTGACTCCTGACCTGCACATAATTATCACATTTCATGCAGTTTTTATTTTCTTGGCTGTGTGAACTATAATTATTCTTCCTTATCTTTGTTATCTTCTTTCTAAATTACACCTTTAATTTATCAAGTTCAAAAGCATTTATTTAATATTTACTTTTGAGCAATTTTTATGTATTAGACACTATAATAAGTTCTCTTAAAAAATGTTCTGTCTCACTAAAGAATTAATAATACAACTCCTTAAGCTTGTTTATATAAATGTGAATTGTCATAAATGAAAAAATTCCAAGGTGGCAAAAATTTTAATGCAAATAGTTATGTTTGAAAGTGGTTATATTATTGTATTTTTAAAAGGTTAAGGGTTTTTCACATTAACATCTTGGAATTCTGTCAATTACAACCATTTTTTAAAATCACTAAAACACTTGTAAAAACTGTAAGAGATTTGCCAGGTATCAACCAAAAGGAACAAATGTCCTGTTTTACAAAACAAATCATAGAAAAACATATACATTCATGTTTCGTGTGAATGAGTTACAACCCTAAATTGGACAAAAATGTTGTTAAAAGATCACACTGTGGTCGCGCAGTGAAATACCTTTAGGATGTTTAGGATCACCAAGTCGGTGTTAGATCTTTAATTGATGGTATCTTGGAATTAAGATGTTACTTCTTCAAGCACTGCACTTTGGGATGAACAAAATCAGAACGTGGAAGACAGCACAATTATAACTAAGTGTGATAACGGAGGATACAAAACCCTTAGAAAGGGCCTGTAAATTATGGTTTAGGAAAAGGCCAAGTAGCGGGAGGACAGGAAGACAGGGAGTTTCTTAGGAAGTGATTTCTAAGCTCGGGGTGAGTCAGACTTAGCCAAAGAGGGTAGTAATAGAAGGCTCCAGGAACAAGAACAGAGTAAAGACTGACACAAAAGAGTATCCCTTCATTGCAGAGCGCCGTGCTCACCTCGAATCTGTGTTCTTAGAAAGGACAAAGGTATGTGTCAAAACTAGGCTCAATTTTTCTGTCAAATCTCACTTGGTAGAAACAATAGGAGAACAACTTGAAAATATGGACAATCAGACAAAATCTAGAGAAAGTGTCAAAGAAAGCATGGGAAGAATTTGTCTCAGCACGAAGGGAATAGCAGACTGTGTCAATGATGATATATTGAAACGCTGGACTGATATTATTCAACTCAACAACATAAAGTTCGTTGCTGACGTGATCAAGAGCTATACGGTGCTGCAGGCTGAGACATCAATAGGAAGCGAGAGCAGGAAAGAGAAAGGATCCAGACAGGCCAAATGTCAAAACTGTCACTTGTTTTTCTTTGCATTTTATTACTTTTGGTCATATTGATACACTGGGTTTTGGTTTCTTGTTTGTCTTCCTGTTTTGGAACTTTTTTTTTTTTGGTACTGGGAATCGAACTCACGACCTCATGCTTGCCAGGCAGGCGCTTGTGCCGCTGAGCTATATCCCCAGCTGTTTTGAAAGTTTTTGTAAAAGGAATGTTACTGCATGGATTCTTCTATGAGTTGTTTTTTTCTTTGCTCAATATTAGGTACTTGAGAGTGATCTACACTAATTACACGTAGCTGACACATTTGTAGTGCTGAACCATTACTTGGATGTGCCAAAATTTAACAGTTACTGCCAGTGAATGTCCAGCATGTTCCCTTCCATTCCTCCTCCCTCTCAGTGCACTTCTTTCTCTTCCTCTTTTTGTTATTTTAGACATAACAGTGACAGTCTTATACACGTCTCCAACTACCCATGTACAGAAATTTCCAAGACACACACTTCTGTAGTAAGGATACGCGTGCTCAAATTTCCTATGTAGTACAGTCACTGTGGTAACACAAGATAAATGGAAGTAGAACGCAAGGCCATGACAGCACTCTATAATTCAAAGACAACTCGAATTATAGCGCTAACACTATAGGTAGTGAGATATGACAAATTTATGATGTACCTTAGAAGTAGAAAGACTGCAAAAATCAACAATTATCTTGAAGTCAGCCTGAGCAAAAATAGTTGGAAGAAAATATTCCAGTTTCACTTAGGGGAATTTATTAATGGTGGAAAAATATTTCAGAAGAACACGATTTGCATAAAGCTAAAACAAAAAATTTTCCTTACCTTTTGCTTTCTTTTTTCCTGCTTGATCAGAACTCTGGTCCTAAAAAGGGGCCAAAGATAAGACATGGAGTGATTACAGATTTGGTTTCTAAGATGACTGCCATTTTAGTTGAAATGATGATTTAAAATTAAAATCTAAACCTGTACTGATCACTATATTATTTCCTGCAAAGAAGCTGAAGATATTCTTAGGAAGCGGTGAAGTCCAAGATTAACGGATCAGCAGGTCTGATGCCTGGTCACGGCTCATTTTCTGGTTCAGAGATGATGCTTCTCATTGTGTCCTCATATGGTAAAAGAGGTGAGCTAGCTTTCTCTTTTACATGGGCCCTAATCCCAATTTTCTTAGGAAATCCAAGATCTACTTAAAATGAATAATTTAGTACAAAAATAAATATGAATTCCAAAACCAAGGTAAACAAAGAGAAATTAATCCACTGAAAAGACTATATCATGGAAACAGTCTTAATTGGTAGCAATGTTCATGGACAATATTTCTATTTTCTTTGTATTTCAAAATTCTACTGGAATCAAAAGGGAATAAAGAGCAGATAAAAATTATTTAGAATCTAAGGAAATGTGAACTTGATTGAGATATGATCTTTATGATAATTGAGAAAAGGTATCACAGCTCTCTGCCCACACACTAACAAACCACAGAAATGTATCACCCACAGTTCTGGAGGCTGTAAAGTCCAAGATCCAGGCGCCAACAGGATCGGGTGTCTGGTGAGGATCTGCTTTCTGGGTCATAGAACACGCCTTCACGATGTATTCTCATTGTGTCCTCACGTGGTAAAAGGATGAGCTATCTCTCTGGGCTATCTTCAAGGGTACTAATCTCAATCAGGAAGGTTTCTGCTTGTCTGATCTAATCACCTCCAAACGTCCTGCCTCCCAATATCACCACCCTTGTGGTTCGTATTTCAACGTATGAAAGGGGAGGGGGACACAAATATTCAGACCATAGCACCTTCTTAAAAAAAAAAATCTAGTCATTATGGATGATCCTTGTGCCAAAATAAGAGTGCAATATTTAATGCTTATAAGATGTTTACTAATCCTTAACAGTGGAATAATATAAAACATTCTGCTTATCTTTTAGGTATGTATGAAAATAGTGTCAAATTCATTATGTAAGAACTATAAAATGATAAAAGGTATCTTAAGTGTATGAGATTGTACAATATCAAAATAACAACTGCTAATAATGAGTACTAAAAATCTTGCACTATTCTAATTACTTTAGACACTGCACATGTATAAACTCGTTAAATCTTCACAGCAACTCTCTAAGGTAGGTTCTATTTCTGAACCCAATTTACTGATGAGAAATTAAGTCAGAGAGAAATTAAGTACTATTCCCAAGGTCACACTGCTAAAAAGTGATACTGGTAGGACTCAGATCCACAAAGTCTGATTTGGAAGTTTTTAACCAAAATTACCTTACACAGCCCCTCCAATATGTCAACTGAGAGTATGCAAAGATGTGTATTATTTCCAGTGATTCTCATATGCATAATGAATGACAGATACTGAATATTCCCAGACTCCTTCACTTACCAAACTTGTCACTTAATGTATTTTCTATTAGTTATGTATTAGTTATTCATTTTGCACTTATTGACCCAAAAAAACCCTTCATTTTATGCTCTAACAGCATCATAAATACACTGCTGCCATTCCAACTTAACCAATGAAGATGGAAGGAAATTATATTGCCTTAACTCACCAAGTACTAGGGCACATTTTAGAGATCAGTTTATTCTCCATTATTTTTTGCTGCATAATTAGTTCCATGTTACAGAGCTCAATAAAATTGGGACAAGTCAAATTCTGAAAATGTTCTTCATGTATACCTACATCAGCTTTGTCCAGACTGGTGTTCCATTATTTAGGACACTTATAGTTTCTACCAAATTCTGCATACTACATAATGCCTATCCCTATGGACCCGAGAAAAAATTTATGGATTTGAGCCCAATAATATCTAGATCAGCCTACTAATAACTTGACCACAGTGAAAGTGAAAAAGGAGTCTGACATATATGTCAAAGGTCAATTTGAGAACATTTTGAATTATTAAGGCTATCTCTGTTATTAAAGTACTGTATATCCATATACTCTAACTCTTTACTCAATATAGTGACTTGTGGGGCTAGGGATTTAGCTCAGCGGCAAAGCGCCTGCCTGGCTAGCGCAAGGTCGTGAGTTCAGTTCCCAGTACCGGAGAAAAACCAAGAAAAACCAAAAAAAAAAAACAAAAACAAAAATATAGTGACTTGTAATTACATGTATTAGAGACGATTGCATTAAAATTCTTAGTTACAAACAAAAGCATATTTGACTGATTCAAACAAAAAATAAATACTTATTAAAAGGAAACTGCGTAGTCAACAAATCTCATGAGAAGCCTGAGGAACCAGATTTTGCAAAGAGCATGAACAAGGTAGTCTCCTCAGCTGCAGGATCACGCCAAAGCATGAACAACTGGCCTCGTAAGGACACCACTGCTGCTACTACTGAACGCTGGGTACCACGGCCTGCACCATCGCCACGCCTGGACAGTGCATTCTGCCCATGGCTGCTCTACAGTTACCAACTCCTGATTCTCTCATCTACTTTCAAGTCTGAGTATACTATGATATGAACAACTAGTTTTCAGGATCCACAGGAACATCTCATTATCAGCTGTCCAACATCCAGTTCCAGGTCCCTTCCCCATCACCTCCTTTCCCTGAGACACCTAGAAGTCTCTAAACCTGCAATCGTCTCAAAAAAAGCAGAACCTGGAACACCACCTGATGATGTGCTCACACTCAAGAACAAGCAGTAATCTCATGGGAACCACACTGTCTTTGAAGCTGTAAGGATTCCAGAGAACCATGGCACTGAGATAATGACCAACCAATCCTGCCCCATACCAACTTCGCCTTCAAAGCTGGCCTCATGATTTTTTGAGCAGGCTACTCTGAACCCCTGCATCAGAGAGTGTTCCTTTCAGTTCTTCTAGCTGTAGATAAACCTATCAGTGTTTCACACTGATACATCCTGCAATTCTATTTCTGTAACATGAGTCAAGAACCTGCTCCAAACCGGTAGATGCCTGTAATTCTTGTGCTCTAGAAGGCTCACGCAGGAAGATCACAGTTCAAGTAGAGCTAACTTAGATCCTACCTCAGAACAAAAAACAAAAATTTTGGTGAAGAGAGGTAGATCTGTGCGAAGGTGCTAGGTTCAACACCCAGTATTGAAAAATAAAACCTGTTCATTGGGCCAATTTTTTTTTTTTTTTTGGTTTTTCTCCGGTACCGGGAATCGAACTCACGACCTTGCGCTTGCCAGGCAGGCGCTTTTGCCGCTGAGCTAAATCCCCAGCCCCTCATTGGGCCAATTTGAGGTTGCTGTTTCCTCTTTTTGAAGTCTCTGTGACAGACACAGAGCTCAGTGCTAGGCTGCTAAAGATTACAAATGTCTTCTAAAGAGCTCAGACTCTTTAAGAGCTCACACTGCTTTACAAATGTCTTCTAAGAGCTCACACTACTTTAACTTTAATCAAGTTAAAGTAGATGATAATAAGAAAATTCCTGAAAGTTGCTTTATATGATTTTCTTACAAAAATAAAATAGTAATGACTCACTAAAAAGTGCGGGAAACTATCTGCAATTTCATATGTGATAAAAATAAATCACACCACAAAATTTGCACATAATCAAAAGGACTTGCAAATGATTTCCCAGAAGGTATTCACTAAAACCAGTCTACACTGACTACTCTAGTATTAAATATGTAGCCATGTTTTAAGTTCTAATGTATTTCTTTGATTTATTAATTTTAAAGTATGTCTTTGATTTCATGTAACTATTTTCCAACACACTTTACTAAACAGGCAAGCGGCCTAAAACACAGCTCTGATTATCACATCAGGCCACGCTTTCCCCTAGCATGGTCCCAATTTAACTTGCACCTTTGTTTACTGTTCTACTTCAAGAATTCACATACCCAATCAAAGCAAAATATATTCACAGCACTTCTCTCCTTAGTAGGGGAATTTTTCCCACTATATTTTTATATTCAAAACTTTCAATTCCTTCAAGATTCCATTTAAAAGCCAATTTATTCCTGAGAGTTATATATGCTTTACAAAAATAACTTTTACCAGTGTTGCTCTAATTTTGTCCTAAAAGGAGAATTACCAGAAATTGAGAGGTGAGACACAAGATAGGAATGAGGCTCATTGTTTTAATGGTAATTACTATGTTATTCTGGAACACAGAATTTTTAAAGAAATACACTGCAACCATCTCATTCAACGAACGCTTGAATGAACAACACAAACTGCCATTGTACCTACACATTTAAAAGAAAATCAATAGGCCATACTTGTTCATAGTTATTCACAGAACACTGTAAGTTACTCACTCTAGTAGGAAGAATAAAGATATTCACTACATTATTCTTTGCTAAGAAAGAAAAATAAGAAAATGAGAGAAATGCAAAAGAGTTAAAGGGAGCGAAAGAAGGAAGAGAAGAGAGGAGAAAGAAAACAGGAGACTGGAAAGGAAAACCATGCTGACTACAGAATTCATCAGGAGTTCCTACCCTTTGATATTCTTTCTAATAAGATTTAAAGGAAAATGATAAATACTGTTTAAATAAGAAAAAAAGACATAAAAACAAGGTTGTCAAAGAAACACTAATGTGTAATTCTACAGAACTATACAGGAGTTAATGAAACTATGTAGGAATTAAACATTATGGGTGTCATACTCATAAATGTATTACATTATCAGTCTGAAATTGTTCTTTTAGTTTCCTTTTCTTCTTTGTTTTGTTTGTTCACTGATTAATTTATTTTCCTAGGAGTCATGATGCTATGTAAAGAAACTGCTTCAGAATGTTAGGATCTTGTACTAATATCTAAGCATAATTGTAAAACGTAAAGAAAGCTAATGGATCAATGAATAGAAAATGAAAAACAATATTTCATGCTTTTTGTCACCTTAAAGTTAATATTAGCATGAAATATCAAAATGTAACATTACTAGCTAGTAGACTTATTAAGATTCAAGACAGTAACTAGCCTAGAAAAAGTACTTACATTGGTTTTCCAAAAAACTAAAGGAGGTCAACCTGATGTGTTAGGAATAGTAACGATGTATGTTAGAATGTTGTCTTTCAAAAGCATTTCTCGCGTAATACATGAGGAAGGATTTTAGAGATGTACAAATTACAAAAAAAGAATTTTAAAATCTATGAAACATAGCAGAAATTTATGTGACACTCAAAATCACAGAGCCTAATTAAGTTCTAAGGACTAAATTAGTATTTTCACACAGAAAATATTACTCCACAGTTACAGGCTATACTCCTAAACATGAACAATCTAAATCATATACTAGAAGAGATTTTAGAAATTATAATGACACTCCAAGACAGAAGTATATTTCAGGCTGTTCATATACCTTTAAACCAGGAAGAAAATGAATTTATTCATAGTTCCACTAATACTGTTTCTAAAATTTAGATATATTCTCAGAAAATTTAATATATTTCCATTAAATTTAATAATGTAGTACTTAGATGCAATTTAGCAATTCATTTTATAGTTAAAAATGTACATTTTCCATACAAACATTCCAATTTCACAGATAGCTATGGATTTCAATTTTAATAAGATACAGTTACAAAACCCTCAGAATTCTAAATATTTTAAAATATTAAAGAAATAAGGGTAGAAAATGAACTGGACAAAATTTACAGTTAAGGTTAAAGAAGTAACTAGTAAGTCTTATTAGTTTGTTCCTATTAAAAGAAACATTTTACTAGTAATGATGATGACAGTGTGATCATATCCTGAAATGTGTCAAGAATATTTATGTTTTAGCCACAATACTAAGTAATAGTAATTACTACTAAGTATTATTACTACTGAGTATTATTACTCAGTAGTAATAAATATATTAGTTTTAGCAGCTAACGATTACTGACTACTGACTATATACCAAGCATATCACATGTCCAAAGGATCTTTATTACCAAAACTCAAAAAACTTCCAAATAATTCCATCCAACCAATTGGGTTAACCTTAGCATTCTAACTATAGTATTGTTACCTAAAAATAAGTAACATTTATTCAATGCTCCTTATGTCTAGAAATACCAGAGTTTTTTCATTTACTGTCCAAATCGGATATTTGAGAGTAAAAGGAAAGCTAATAATATCACTAAAATTATATAGGCATGTGTATATATATCCAGGTATATATACATATGTATATACACACAATAAAATTTTATTTATGTATCAACATATTGATATTGGTTGTCAAATCTCTAAAATATTCTATATAAAAGTATTCTCAAAAATAAATTTAATTACAACACATTACAATTTTATACAGATACATATATCTCCAAGATAGTAAAGCAAAAATATTCATTATATCGATCATTATCAGAAAGCTAAGCAAAGACTGTAAGTTGAAAAATTGTATTTTGCATTTATTAATATAAACAAGCTGCATTTTTCTCTAATACTGTGTTACTTGCTGTTTTCAGAAAAAAGTACTTTTTTCTTTTTTTTCTTTTTTTTTTTTTTTTGGTTTTTCTCCGGTACCAGGAACCAAACTCACGACCTTGCACTTGCCAGTCAAGCGCTTTTGCCGCTGAGCTAAATCCCCAGCCCCAAAGTACTTTTTTCAATATGAATACATTCTATTTCCTTTATAAAATTGCCTGTAATCTTATTCAAAATTGTATTTGGTTAATAAATTTAAGGCAAAACATCAATCAAGACTTCTGCATAAAGCGCATTATTGTTACTTGATAAAATACTCTCTTAACAGATAATGAAGTACCTGGTGAGCTCAGCAAACTTTGTCAGACGTTTTGTTTTTAATTGTTAAAGCTGATACATAAAAACATAAGAATTGTACATATTTATGGAGTATCATATGATATTTTGGTATGTGTATGTTATATTTTTAAGTCAGGTTAAAGATGTATTTCTTAAACATTTATAATTTACAATGAAACCACTCAAAACGTTCAAAATGCTTCCTTCTAGCTTTTGGAGATATGCAGTACATTATCTTTATCCACTATCAGCTTTCTGTTCAATAGTACACGAAAACTTTTTACTTTTATATAACTGTAACTTTGTATCCATTAATCAACCTTTACCCCCTAACCCCTCCTCTCCATTCTGTTTTTATTTAGCCCAATTATCTTCACAAGTACTCTCGAAGCCAAATCACTTAGAGCAGTGATGGTGCTTTCAATCATACAAACAGCCTACTAAGGCATGCATGTCATAGGTTCACCAACAACTTAAGAGTATCTTCCTTATTTTTACATAGTAGAATTTAACAAATAAGTAGCCTGATCTTGTAAATTTTTCTCCAAAGTTAATATAAAAGTGCAGGAATCTTCAAATTCATTCTAATACAAAATATAAAATTAACCAATTAAAAATAGGCTCTCCATCAAAAATAGTAATGGAGAGTAGACAGGTACTCCAGATGCAATCAGATAAGGATTAAAAATTCTATAGTAACTTGAATCACCTGGTAGTGGTTAACAAAGCACTGCTGCAGACTGAGGTCTTTTACATATTAGACAGCCAAGATCAACTGACCTTGCCTATTCTTGCCTACTCTGATAGTAAAGGGGAGGCACTGAGTTTTTCATTATCAGCATGGAGCTGATAAGGAGACCATCCTCTCAACCCTAAGGAGACCATCCTCTCAAGGAAGTTTCACTTGGAACTACACAGTTTTCAACATTTCACAGGATTTTACATTTCATTTTATAATGTATCTATGTTTGATTACATTTAAAAATAGATTTTCCCCTAATCTGAGTAAAATTCTTGCCCTGGGGAGTTGTAACATGTGCATCTATTCTGTAGTTTCTTCAGCTGCCTAGTAGGTAAAACCTCCAGCTGCAGCAGGACCTCATTTCAAGAAAATTCTGGAATACATTTCCTACATATCATCACTTTTGCACCCTCCAAAAATTATTCTCGGGATAGCCGGAGAAGTTTGTCATATATAATAGCATAAAAGCAGCACCTACATTTTAATAGTGCTTAAGTCTTTATAAAATTGTTTCATTTGGTCTTATTTAATATTTATGTTAAAATATCAAATTCAATCATCATATTGGAATCATGTATCAACTAAATCCTGCTGAAGGCTCTAAGTGAATTTTTACTGTTCTCCAAAATGCAAATGTGCGGTGAGAACAATCACAATAATTAATTCCGTTAAATTTCTAAAGTACAACGTTAATATATTCAATAGGATACAGTAAATGCTTATGCTAAGGTTATCAGGTATGGTTACAATACTTGATGGACACAAAAGCCATGTTCCTCTTAAACATTTTTTAAATTTAAGTGTTATATTCTAACTATGCCAGTACTGTCTTAGGTCAACTTGTAACCACAGAATTACCCAATGGCTATGTATTTCCATCAAAACAATTCTCTTGCAACGCTTTTCTTTTTACTTTTTTTTCTTTTTTTTTTTTTTTTTTGGTACCGGGAATCAAACTCAGGACCTTGTGCTTGCCAGGAAGGTGCTTATGCCACTGAGCTATATCCCCAGCCCTTTTGCAATGCTTTTCATCACAGTGAAACTCTGGGCCTACATGATTTTCACCACGGGGAACTCTAATGTCAGTAGGAATGGTAAGTTATATAAAACTAAATCGCAGGGCATGATGGCTCAAGCCTGTAATCCCAGCACTCGGGAGGCTGAGGCAGGAGGATCGTTGTGAGTTCAAGGCCAGCCTGAGCTACAAAGTGAGCTCAAGGCCAGCCTGAACTGCATACCGAGACCCTGTCTCAAAAAGCCAAAAAAACAAAACAAAACAAAAAAAACCACCCTAAATCATCAACCTATCATGCTATATGCGATAAATCCTTAATACAAAATAAATGGTAAATTTTAAGATAGCTATTCAAGCAAAAAGTACTCACTACACGTGCCTTGTTAAAACACTAATTTGGAATGTGATACTGCTGCACAGCCATATACTTAAGTGCAATATGGACTGTGCTATTTAATACTTTCCAAATTTAGGGGCTGGGGATATAGCTCAGCAGCACAAGTGTCTGCCTGGCAAAAGCAAGGTCCTCAGTTTGATTCCCGAGTTCGATTTCTGTGTTCGATTTCCAAGACCTAAAAAAAAAAAAGAGAGATTGCTACCAAATTCAAGCACAGAACATACAATCAACCCCAAAGAACGCCTCCCAAGAAAGGCAGTAGGATGGGGCTCAGGCGCTGGGCGGGCTCTTCAGAGAAGCACGAACGGCTGCAGAGAGGGCAGGAAGAGCAGTAGGCAACCTCACGCACAGCAGAAGAAACGGTGGCAAAGGCGGTGGGGTCAAACTGGCGATGGTGCGACAAGCTCACCTAGTGCGGACAAGGGCAAGTGGCAGCTTCCTGCCCGGGCCTAGGAAAGGGGCGTCACTATGGGAACGAACCTCCCGGAACGCGAGAATTGGCGTGTCCAGCTCCAGAGCGATACTTACCGTGACCCCCCGACCCAGTTCATCTCTCCAAAGCTTCCCACGGAGACGCCACTAACACCCCAATAGGTGGAGCTCAAACGTCTAGGGTCTGGGCCGCGCTGCTGCTTCAGCAATCCCCCAGACCCTCCGCTAGAGGCGCAACCTCCCAATAGGCTTTGCGCGCCGCTCTACGACCCGAGGCGCGCACTCCTTCCCGACAGCCACTGCGCACCGGAAGCGACTCCTTCCGGTCTTGGGCTTCGAGAACGTTCTGCGCAGGGCCTCTACAGCTGCTGGCAGTGTCCTGACAGAAGTGGGGGAAGCAGTAAGGCTGCAGTCTGGCTTGAATCCCGCTCATCACGGCTTCGAAACCCCTCTAAGGTACATTTAAACACATGGACATACCTGATGTGGCCCCAGCCATAGCGTTTCAAACCATCATCACCGTGATGCTGTTCTGGCCTCTGTTGTCTGTTTCAAGGCGGAGCTGACTTGGAAAAGAACAAGAAGCATGGACAAAGTTACAGATCTCTAACTCTAAAAGTTATGTGTCCGTTACCATGTGTTATTACTAATTCTTTACGTATTCTTAATATGCGGTTTTAATATTTAGTGAAACACTTGTTAAAAGAAACATAGCACTGGAGCCATTTACTGTGTATTTTGTTCATATGAATTTCTGAGACAGCTCAGATCAAAATTTGATACACCTCTGAAGGCCCAAAGACTTTAAACTCCTTACTAGATAAAAAGTAATCCTGAAACAAGAATTGGATTTTACTGTTCATTTTGTGTTATGTTTGTATCACAAAGCATTTTTCTTGCAAACTGTTCTAATGTGACAGAAAAATACAGTAAATGTTTGTTTTTAAAAATTTGATTACGGTAAAACGCATAGCGATTAATTTCCCTCAAAGTATTACCCCTTGCTTCAAACACACTTAGTCCATTGTTCTTGCTTCTTTTTGAAGCAGTTTTGGAAGTCCTTTTTTTGAAGACGTTAATGTCATTAGAAACGAATAGGTTGCATAGAACAAAGTCATCAACCTGTCATGCTTTATATGATAAAATACATAGTATATTTTCTTTAATGTAGTTATTCAAGTAAAAAGTACTATACTTCCCTTTTTAAAACAACAATTTGTATGGTTTTAAGTGCAACTAGAACTGTGCTGTTCTATGATACTTTCCATATTCATGCAAAAACTATGTAATCAACCCAGGAGATTCCCATCCCAAGAGAGACAGTAGGATACGGCTCAGGTGCGATGAAATGTGATCAAAAATACAGTGTATATTACTGCCAGATACCACCTAAAGGAAAGGCCGGCTCATAAAAACATACCATGTGACTTCTGGCTCTTCCCTAAGGTCAAAATGACTGTGAAAGCTAAACTTTTTGGGTCAGTTCAAAGCATCATGGCACCCACAACAGCACAACTAAAGACACTCTGAAAAGAGAACTTCCAGAAGTGCTTTGAAGTGGCAAAAATGATGGAATAACTGTGTTCAAAGCAAGGGGGAGTATTTTCAGGTAGATTAATGACAATGTGATTTTTAGCATAATTTTAAAAAATTTAAACAACTGTACTTTTGATTACACCTCATATATTAGTTAAAAACTAGAACTCTTGTCCCAAATAAATACACAAAGTAAAATCTTTTTCAGTTCCTATGATTTTTTTTTTCCAGTGTATAACCTGTGAATTCATGGTATAACACATTTTCCCTTAAGTCACTGGGACATACCACTTAAAAATAGAATTGTGTCCCAGGGTAGACATCTTGTTTAATATAAATCCTAATTTTTATAACAAAAATTTACTCTCATATATCTATAATTGAATTAGACCAAGTGAATTCAGCATGTCAGAGTAAATTAGACCTCTGCATGGCATGAGTGGCTGTTGGTTTTCAGTAACTAAACCCTGTGTGTCAGCCTCTCTTACTTTCAACATAAAGGAGAGGCTGACCAGTTTGTTGAGGAGTCAAGAACTGAGAGCTGAATGGAACCAGCTCTTGTCCCTGACTAGTCATTGCTTTCCTCCTACTCCCAGGGAGGCAATAGAAGTGGGAAACTAGACTTAGAAAACATTAATATACGAGACACATGTTTTGACAAGATGTTTACTTGGTTTTCCTTCTAAGAAAAGACATGTTTTAGAAACAAGTACTGTATCGGGTAGTTATGTGTGACAGCTGAAATATTGAGCTAGAATCTGCTTCCTCACCCTAGTCTTATTACAAGTTGGTAAACTGGCCTACCTATAGTTCAGTGCTGACCTGTTTGGATCTTGAGTGTTTTTTGCCTGTAGATTCTCCACTCCCCTGCTTTTCCCCTGATGGGGCTGCCCTGGTTGTTTGCCAGTAATGCAAGCCACTTGTCTTGGATGCCAGCTGCTGTCTAATGCAGGTATCCTTCTGTGTACCATGTTCTGCCTGAACATCCTGACGTCACCCCAGTTAGGCTAACTCTGGCCCCTAAGCTGTCCTGCTATAGTGTTTAGCTGACAGGAGATGTGACATAGTGATTAAGATGTACCAATGTAAGCTGTCTTATATCGCTTGTACTAAAAGCTTGATCTGAGAAGTAAAATGTTTTGACAATAACCACTGTGACCCTATTATGATCCTTACACACAGAAAGTCTTGATGCAATGATAAAAATATGATATGGCCAGATATCAACCTTGTGTGAATTTGTCACTCAGACAGTAGTCTGCTAAACTGAATGTAAACAAATGAAGAAACATGCAGTGAGTTTAAGAATATCTGTACTTATCAAAGAGAACATGGTACTTTCTTCGCAATAAACTGAATAATTAAGGTCATTCAACATTGGGCAGGCTTTGTATTCTAGTGCTGAGGTTTGCAAACTTCCCTAAGGGCTAGATAGTAAATATTTTAGTGTCTGTTGGAGCGGCTCTACTCTGCTGCTATGGCATGAAAGAAGCCATAGACAAGAGAAATAAATGTGACTGTGTTCCAGTAAAATTTTTGTAAAAGACAACGAGTAAGGACCTCAAAAAGCTTTTTGTCCTTCATTGTCCAACTCCTCTCGTACACCCAAATGGTTACATTTTGATTTTAGGGCTGTATAACTCCGTGTAAAAGCACAAGGGAGTGTGGAAGTGAAACACTGGTCTCGTTCATTTACTAGTCACCTGATAAACAAATAGGAGTGCATCCGTGCTGTGTTACTGAAAACAACAGATGCAGAGCTGGGAGGTTTTTATTATAAGAAGTGAGTGTAAGGCTACAGTAGGAAAAGGGAGAAGGGCTACAGGTGCAATAAGGAATTATTTTCTGTACTGTGGACAACTTCTCACCTATTTATTTACATACAAGGAACACCCTCTGTTACAACTTATATGTTCTGGGGCCGTATGTAAAATCATAAACAAAACAGGAAAGGAAAGGAAAGGAGAGGAGAGGAGAGGAGAGGAGAGGAGAGGAGAGGAGAGGAGATCCCAGTGTTTAGGGTTTGCTACTTTGCTTTCTGCAGTGCCCCTACCCCATGTCAGTTTCTTCCCTGACCCCTTTTCCTGTTTGCTTTACATCAGTCGTCTTGTCCATCCTCCTTTACCTCCCTGATTTCTTTTCCTTAGTCTCATTACAGCTCTTGCAGATCTTCCTTTCTGCTTGTCTTCCCCTTGTAGTATCTACAGAAAATTCCGTGGAGAGGGGATGTATATTCTGAAACTCGTGCAGGTTTCCAAGTGACGCTGAGCATGCTCAGTAGCTAGGGCAGGTTTTGTTCACCAGCAGCTGGCCCGATTCGACCTCTCCAAAAATAGACATTTGACTCTCTGAACTCCTGTTTAAGGATGTAATTCCTTTTGCTCGCTCCTCATTTTCAAGGTTCAAAGGGAAGCAGCAAGGATTCCAAGGTCTCACTGTCCTCACAGCCAATGAAGGGCCAGCGAGGGAGGAGCCTGGCGCCGCTAGAGCTTCTAAGGAAATCATCCTCCCTCCGTGCAGCGGAGTCTGAGCCCTGCCGCATCTGTCACAGCAGAACAAAATAATCAGACGGTAGAGGAGAAACACTGAAAGCTTTGAGATGCTGTGGCACTTTCTGAAACATTTGCTGAGGGTTCCCATGGAGCTGTTCTTTTAAAACGAGTTCTTTTTGAAGCTGGTTTGAGTAACTGGGAAAATGATACATATGCTGAACGCAGCCTCTGATCGAGTGAAATGGACCAGATCGGGTATTGCTAAGAGGGCTGCCTGCCTGGTGGCTGCGGCATATGCTCTGAAAACCCTCTATCCCATCATTGGCAAGCGTTTGAAGCAGTCTGGCCAAGGGAAGAAAAAAGAAGCTTGCCGGGCTGCAGAGCACAGAGAAGTACTGCATTGCACCGAGACCGTTTGTAAAAACCCTTCTCCGGGAGTGAATGCAGATTTTTTCCAACAGCTACTGGAACTTCGGAAAATTCTTTTTCCAAAACTTGTGACCACTGAAACGGGGTGGCTCTGCCTCCACTCAGTGGCCCTCATCTCAAGGACCTTTCTGTCTATCTATGTGGCAGGTCTGGATGGGAAAATCGTGAAAAGCATTGTGGAAAAGAAGCCTCGGACTTTCATCTTCAAAATAGTCAAGTGGCTTATGATTGCCATCCCCGCCACCTTCGTCAACAGTGCAATAAGGTACCTGGAGTGCAAGCTGGCTTTGGCCTTCAGAACTCGCCTTGTAGACTACGCTTATAAAACCTATTTTACAAATCAGACTTATTATAAGGTGAGCAATATGGATGGAAGGCTGGCAAACCCTGACCAGTCTCTTACCGAGGATATCATGATGTTCTCCCAGTCCGTGGCTCATTTGTATTCCAACCTGACCAAACCTATTTTAGATGTAATTCTAACCTCCTACACACTCATCCAGACTGCTACCTCCAGAGGTGCAAGCCCCACTGGGCCTACCCTGCTAGCAGGACTTGTGATCTATGCCACGGCTAAAGTGTTGAAAGCCTGCTCTCCCAAATTTGGTAAATTGGTGGCTGAGGAAGCTCATAGAAAAGGCTACTTGCGATACGTACACTCCAGAATCATAGCCAATGTGGAAGAAATTGCGTTTTACAGAGGACATAAGGTAAGATGGAAATTACAGTGATGAGTGAAATGTGAGACTGTTTAGCCACTGTAGCGCTAGATGCCATACCATCTGCTGTACTGTTAACGGACCCACTTGCGTAGCATTTTGCGTTCCTCTGATATCTAACCTTGTATAAATAGGTACTTCATTGCCCTTTTAAATCATAAGTTGTTAAAGAATTATAAGTGCAGATTTTACTAAGGTTTCATCAGAATAAAATTCCAGCACTCCAAGAAACAATCTACATAGACTCAATCACTCAAATACAATCAAAATTATCTGAAAGTATTTTCTTAAAATTTAAATCCTACGCAGTAGATGGTCCTAGAACATGGAGAAAATATGTATTTGGAAACTAAGAATAAACACCTTCCTATTGAGACAGAAAATATAGGAGGATATTTGTTGTTTCTTTGCTGTTCACGAGGGGGAAAACTCCATGCTTTTCATGTCTGATCAGTAATGCCCTCTTCTAAGAATTATAGGAGACTGTCTCACAAAATGACATTTCCATTACCCTTAATTCAGCATGAACATTTTGACACAAAAAGGAGGTGAAATTAAATTTTGTTTAGCTTTAAAGAAAAAACTAAAAAGAGTGAATGAATGGGAGAAAGAAAATTCCAGAAGAGTATTTTAAGTTGTATTAAAATTAACCCAATTAAATAAACTTGTAGTGCCTAAAAGTAAACGTTGAAGGTGATGCACGTGGAATGAGTTGGCAAATGAAATATTAAGACATTCTAAAGTCGAACATGGTATTTTTATGATCCAGCAGAATTATTTACTTTATAAAGCATCAGCAGTTATCAGAGTTTTATAATACCAGAACCAACTGGACAAGTTAGGACGTCTACTCCCACTTGAAAATGGGGCTCCGTATGGTGTGTTAATTATGCTGATTTATCATTGTTTTTGAATAATTGAATACAACAGAGTCAATTATGGTGTGCTGTAAGTTTCTTCCATAAAGACAAATTCAATGTTGAATAGTGAAGTTTAATCATATATATGTCATATGTTTATTTTTAGATATTTTTGATGTGATCAATAATAATATGGATCTAACATTATACATGTTACAAAATATCATTTAATGTTAATGTCTTATAATTTTGAAACATAACTATAAATTATATATATATGCATGCTAAGCAAGTGTTGTACCACTGAGCTATATCTCTAGCCCATTTATATGCATTTTATACTTAATTATTTCAAATAATGTGAGTGTAACCAAAACTAAGTAATGACTAATTATAGTATTAACCTGCCTTTATTGGTTGTTAAGACTTGTAAATAATACTATACTAAGTAAAAGTAATATAGTATATCCATTTAATTATATAAAGTCCTCGTGCCTCTGTGGTATATTCATAGCTTATGCTGGATTAATTCTAATCTGTTTCCTCCTATAGGTAGAAATGAAGCAACTCCAGAAAAGTTACAAAGCTTTAGCGGATCAGATGAACCTTATTTTATCCAAACGCTTGTGGTACATCATGATAGAGCAGTTCTTGATGAAGTATGTTTGGAGCGGCTGTGGACTAATTATGGTGGCTATACCTATTATCACTGCAACTGGCTTTGCAGATGGTGGTAATGACATTTACGCTTAATATTAAATATGTGCCTAGTATTGTTTCTCGTGGAGGTGTCAGTGATAATGTTAGGTGGGTAAAACTGTATGTTACCAGTGTCTCAAGTTTTAGTGGTCAGAAAAAAAATGACAGGCTTTGCAGTGTGCAGTAAGGAGACCAGTAACTCAGAGGACCTTTCCAATTCTGAAGTAGTTTAGAGGTCTCTGATAGTGTCTCTAGTATTCGGCTTTGAGCAGTTTTAACTGTACTGCCTGATACAGAATGGTTTGCTCGCTTACATGTGTCCTCAAAACAGTTCCTCCAGAAAAAGTGTAAAGTACAACCAAGAAGAACGTGTTTCATTCTTCATGTCCCATGCATTTAATCTATAATATTCTATAACTGAGTTTCCCCTAATTTTTGATTTGAAAAGTTGGTTGAGTACATTAGACAATCAAGAATGTTGTTCCAGAGTTCTTAAATGCTATGGTGTGAGGTCTCCTCTACTTGTAGGTGGTATAGATAACTTCCTATGTAGCATGATTTGGTGGTGTGGTTTATAGGGGTTATCAAGCTATAGTTGTCCAGTTCCACCCTATCATTGCTGCAGCAGCTTTTACCAACATTTTTCATCCTTTGGAATAACTAAGAAAGAAGAGCAAAGGAAACAATGTTAAAACATTGGACAGGAGCTTGGATCTTAATTGGCAGGAGTGGAGGGGAATTACTGTCACCTTTCCATGTGCATTGGTTCATATCCAAGAATTCAGCCTATCACAGATCAAAAATATTTGGAAAAAAAATGTGTCTTTAACAAACGTGTACTTTTTTCTTGTCATTACTCCCTAAAGGACATGGTAGAATAACCACTTCCACAGTATTGATATTTGTATTAGGTATTACGAGTAATACCTAGAGATGATTTAAAGTATGTAAGAGAACGGAAGTTGTGTGTAACTACAACCCCATTTTATATAAGGTACTTGAGCTCCTGTAGATTTATTTTGTTGTTGTTGTTTTTGTTTTTCATTTTTCTTCCCCTACCAGGAATCGAACTCATGACCTTGCACTTGCCAGGCAGGCTCTTTGCCACTGAGTTAAATCCCCAGCCCCCAAGCACCTGTAGATTTGGTATCTCCAGAGGTTCCCCTTTCCTGGTGGATACTAAGGATCGCTAATGAAGTAGCAGTGTTTTCCACTGTTGGTCCAAAATAAAATATCATCTTCTCTCTTTAAAAGCCGCTTGAGCAGAATTGGGCACAGTGTTGAAGGAACCAGACAAAAGCACAGGCTTCGTAGCAGGCAAGAGCTCCGTTTAGATCTTGGCTGCTGCTCGTCCTGTTTAGATCCCCTGAGTCATAGCAATGAACTCTCCAAGCCTCAGTTTCCTTAGCTGTAAAATGAGAATCAGAAAGGCTCCTTCAGAGAACTATTGTTTGGATTTAAAGAATGATGTTTATAAAATACAGAGCATGTTGTATTTGATGTATGGTGACAATTATTAGGTAGAAAACAAGAGAAGAAACTGCCTAAACAAAAAAACAACTGGAAGAGGGGAAAAGAAAAAAAGGAAGGGAAGAAAAGAAGATATGTATGTATACACACGATAGCTAAGGTAATGTATGCACAAGATAGCTCAGATAATTGTACTACCAAGTTCTATCAGTTCATTGAAAGGAACAGTTAAGTGCTTATGTTGTTTGATCAATTTTGCATGCCTGTACCTGGTAATCTGAACAACTACTTTGAAGATAACAATATGCAGTATAGTAACCATTGTTAATTTCCTATCATCTGTAATGATGAAATTCTGTATGGTTTTATTGTTTTCTTTTTGTCTCTTTGAAAAAAAAAGAATAATGTAACAGAGCGCACACTATTTTTATAGTTATTATAGTGATTAATATTTATTTGTGTAGGGTAAGCTAATAAAAACAAGTTAAATTAGAGTTTTTTTCAATATTTTGAAACAGTAATTCAATGCTTTAGCATTGTAAAATTTGAGTCATTCTTAATCTAAAACTGTTCATTTTAAGTGCCGGATGTGGTGATGCACACCTGTATTCCCAGCAATGAGGAGGCTGAGGCAGGAAGATTGTTGCAAGTTCAAGAGCAACCTGAGCTACAAAGTGAGCTCAAGCTTAGTCTGAACTGCATAGTGAGACCCTGTCTCAAAAAGACAAAAAACATGTTCATTTTAGTACGTTATGATTGGTCAGTTCTTCTTCATGTAAGCACTGTACACATACCAACCATACTCCATAACTAAACTTTTTAATAGAAGCATATTTAAACCACTGGGAAAATTGAATTACATCTGTTTGTGTATTTCCAAAATTCATCAAAAAAGTACCGTTAAAAAGTTTATATTGAAAAGGTATTGTTAGTAATAGTACTTTAGACATAAACCCTTCATGGTGAAATAAATACCTTTTCAAAAGAGTATTAGAGTAAAAAAGACACTTAAAAGCCTATAGTTTTAAGATGTGTTTCTCTAAGAAATTTGACACAATATTCATTAAAATGTTATTCATTAAAATACTAGTTATTGAAGCCGGGCGTGGTGGTACATACTTGTAATCCCAGCACTGGGGAGGCTGAGGCAAGAGGATCACTGCACGTTTGAGGCCAACCTGGGCTCCATAGTGAGTTCAAAGCCAGCCTGAACTACATAGTGAGAGCCTGTCTCAAGAAAACAATAATGATGATGGTCGTGATCATGATCATCATAGCCACTGAACCAGATATGGTGACACACACTGTAATCCTGGCACTCCAGGAAGCTGAGGCAGAAGGCAAATCTGAGGCCAGCCTGGGAAATTTAGGATGTCAGCAAGACCCTCTCTCAAAGTAGAAAATTAAATAAGGTCTTGGACTATAGCTCAGGAAGGCTCTGAGATCAATCCTCAGTATTGAAAAAAAAGTCATTAAAAAGTTTATATATATATAATGTAAATTGGAAGCAATCCTATAATGGTGTAGTTCTGTTAGCAGTGTTTGGTTGTGATAGAAAACCCTGGAGTATTCAAAACAGAACAAAGAAAATGTGGCTATTAATGGTGGCAAATTAACCCCACAGAGACTCGTGAAAAGTAAACAGTGAATGTGGAGAATCTATTGCGTTTACTTAAAAAATATAATAAGATACTTAAGAATAAATACTGAAAAAGCCCTATTAAAGGAATGTTATATTAGATGGAAATTTTGGTAACCTAATTGCTGTAAGTGAAACAAAGTATATCTTAAAGCTTTTTCAAAAAACATTTATACAGAGAAGAGCAATGCAAAAGTTTTACAGAAGAAAAAATGAAATCATATGATAATATTATTTGAGAATATGCTTCAGAAGCTTCTCTAAGGTTATTATATGTTTTATGTTTGTAAGTATATGCATATTGTTCTTAAATATACTTGACCTATGATGACATATGAAAATATTTGACTTGGGTAAAATAATTTTTTATAGAAAATAATATATCTTTGAGGCTTAAGTCCTGGAATTACATACCATATTGTCTAATCCAGTATTTTACTTTAATTTATACTTAATCCCTTAAATTTCTCTTTATGTTAGAGGAGCATAAGTTCATAATACGTACATTTTAAGGCAAAGGGAGGTGGAAAATGAATACTTGAGAGAGTAGCAAACAGAAAAGGAGAAAAAGTAGTATGAAGAGGAACCAGGAAATAGGAAAAAGGAAAAAGAAAAAAGCAAGCCAGGTGTGGTGGTGCATGCCTGTAATCCCAGCACCTGGGAGGCTGAGGCAGGAGGATGGCTGCAAGTTCAAAGCCATCCTGGACTACACAATGAGACCCTGTCTCAAAAAAAAAAAAAGCAAATTTTGCTACTTAGCAGTCACTCACCCTTGAGAAAATTACATAAATTTTATAGGCTTTATTTTTGTATATTATTAATCACAATAGTAATATATATCACTAAAAATTATTGTGAAATTATATATAATATACTTATATATAATTTCTTACTTTGAAACAGTCCTTGGCAAATTTTAAAAATTTAAGTGGAAGCAATTATCAATATGTAGTATTTTCATACCCTGTGGGCCCTGGAGTCAAATTATCTGGGGTTCAGTTCGTGGCTGTTTTGTTTACTAGGCTGTGACGTGGAGCAGATCTTTAACTTCCCTTTTTTTCAATTGATGCTTGTTAGTAAAACAACAGTACTGTTTGGATAAATTGAGACAGGCATATAACACAGCTTCATGATGTTCAACCCCATTACTCTCATCTCTTTTCTCCCCACTCCTTTTAATACCCTTCCCCATCTCCTCAAAGTCTACTTTCCTGTCATCTTCCTTTATTTTTATTTGTTTGCTCATTTGTATGTGTTCAAGTTTCTTTTATAAAGATTATATGCAATATTTACCTTTATAATTGTGGCTTATTTCTCTTAACATTACAATCTCCAGTTCTGTTTTTCTGTAAATGACCTGATTTCATTCTTCTGTATAGCTGATTAATATTCCATTGTGTGTATATGCACCGTATTCTCTTTACCCATTAGTCTGCTGAAAAGCGTCTAGGCTGTTTCCACAGCTTAGCTACTGTGAACTGGGCCACAATGAATGCGCAAATATATCACTCATTCTTTTGGGTACATAACCTGGAGGGATATAGCCCTACCAAGTGGTACAGCATTTGTATAACATAAGACATTAAGTTAGTCGGAAAAGCTCAGTAGTTTTGGAATTTGCTTTTAGATCTAGAGGATGGCCAGAAACAAGCTATGGTTAGTGAACGGACCGAAGCCTTCACCACTGCTCGCAATTTATTGGCCTCTGGAGCTGATGCTATTGAAAGGATCATGTCTTCATACAAAGAGGTACTTGCATTTTTTTGTCAGTTTGATTAAAATAAAATACGCCATATGGAAATCAAGCAAAATCTAAATTAACAGACATACTTAGAATTTGGGGAACATACCTTTTCTGTACCAGACCTGCTGAGCGTAATCAAGATGAACAGCATCTCCTAGCTGTGTTGCTGCTAAACGCTCCATTATTCCTCTTTCTCTTGCCTGTAGTATATTTGTTTTTAAATTGTAAAAAAATTTCTCATCTGTGAACTCAACTCAGAGTGCCTACATTTACATTCTTGTTTCAGCATTTAAAATTATCTGACCTTGGACAAGTTCTTGTGCATCTTCGTTTCCTTGTCCGTAAGATGACAGTAACGACAGGACTAACTTTGTAGGGCTGTTGCAAGTTAATGAACATAGAATACTTAAGACAATGTATATTAAGCGTTCGGTCAGTGTTAGTTAAGAATACTTCTTCTGTATCTAGCAAAACGTGACACCTCCTTCATTGGAGAAGTCTCACCAATCACATATAAAAGCTTCTTGCTACTTTATCTTCTTCTTGCCTTCCGTGCAGAGTTTGGGCTTTCCTTCTCTGTCTTTAACTATTTGCAGAACTGGTGTGTCACACATTATAATTTAGTGACATGCCTTTTTTATTGATAGCAGTTTCCCAGTTTTTGTCCTTTTCTTTTGTTGAATAATGGTCTGGGTAGGAGATGAGTCACCTTTCATAGTACCCTGGTAACAAGGAATTTTCTTCATAGAAAAACCACAGAATATTATCTGAAATTGGACACGTGGAAGGTTAGAACCAAGGAGGCACCTTATGGGCTAAGGCAGAGATTTATCTCATTTTTATAATCTTACCTTAAAAAAAAAGCCTACATGTTTAATGTTTTTCTTTAGCAGTATGAATTTGGCCTGAAATAAAGCTGAATTTGTACCAAGAGGATTTGAAGCTTTTCACTGAGCTCCCTTTCAAAACTGCTATCCTCTAGCACAGATATTTCTCTGGCCCAGTAGGAGTTTTGGCAATGAGTTTGGCTCAGAAACATTCATTTCATAAATAAGGAAAAAGTACTTTTCTTTAATTTAAAATCTTCTATGTTGAACAGAAAAAAACCAAGAATAAAGGATTGTCATTTCTTTGAATTTTTACAAACTTTCTAGCTTTCTGGAAGTGAAATTTGTCACATGAACAAGGGCCAAGTCAGAAATTTGAGTAAAAGATCCTTAAGGATAAATAATATCCTGAAATATTCACATTTCATTTTGATCCATAGACAGGATGAATATATTTTCTGTGTTTTACAATCCAATTGAACTTACATTGACATCTTGTTGTGTTACTGTTAGTAAGCTTTTACTGTTGTTTGTTTTAGTTATCAGATGTGTTATAGATTTCTCGTGTATAATAAAATAGAATCTTTAACATGAAATCAAGATGCTTATATAATTACATATTTGTTTAAAAGTCTGCCTTAGATATATTACCTTTATTTGTCTCTTTATGTATTGATTTTAGGTAACCGAATTAGCAGGCTATACTGCTCGAGTGCACAATATGTTTATGGTCTTTGATGAAGTAAAAAGAGGCGTTTATAAGAGAATGGCTACCACTGAAGAGCCCAGAAATCATAGCAAGGATGACGCTAACATACATTTACCCCTCAGTGACACACTGGCAATCAAAGGTATGAAACGCAACTGCTTCAGTATTATTCTGTCCAGAGAGCCCTGTATTTAAGTGTTCTTTTATCAATTGAACCAAAGATTTTTTTAAAAACATAGGTTTTAATTGTTTCAAGGAAGCCAGATTTAGATAACCAACATTATTTAAACAGCTATCCCTAAAATTAGTATTGTAATTTGAGGGGTGAGTAATAACTAACATTACCCTAACAACACAATGTTATGTTTATTTAGGAAAAAAATTCTAGAGCTGTATTTGGAAACAGCACATATGGTAGAATGAAATGTTTGCTTTTAAAATTCAACTAACAGAATCAGAACGGATGTCATTTTTTTATTTCCTGTGTTTTAAGCTTGTTTTATTACCATGTTTTAAAATATATTATTCAACTTCTTAATGCTCTTTTTTGCGCCATTGTATTTTTTTGTATGAGAGGTTATTTAGGGAAGCAGAATAGTTATACCATGTGTGTCTGGAGTATAGCAAATTAAGGTAGCTGTGCAATCATAACGATGATGACATTAGATTAGTATCAAATCATTTCTCAGAATTATCTAAGCAGGTGTCAAAATATACAAGTTTATGTTAGCATTGCCTCATATATAGATTTTCCTATTTTTCTTTGGTTTATTACCATGAATTACCTTTATAGTTAAGTTCACTCACTATGCTGTGTTTAACTTTACTCATTAGCAGTAACTTGGGATAGCTTTTTTAATGGAAATTATTTCTTAATTATAGGAAAAGTTATTGATGTGGATCATGGAATTATTTGTGAAAATGTTCCCATAATTACACCAGCAGGAGAAGTGGTGGCTTCCAGGCTAAACTTCAAAGTAAGATGATATTCGAGAATCTTCTGATTGTTGCCGTCGCACTAATACAAAACAGCTTCAGAATTCCTGTACCTTAAGTTAAATACTTGGAGGAGCATGTGGAAAGGAGGGGAAATCAAGAAAGGTATGCACAGTGGCTCAATGGCAGGAGCAGTTACTTGCCCAGAAAGCAGAGGAAAAAGAGAAATTTGACTTCTGCTGCTTTATTACCAGGTTGAGAATCAAAATTACAGTGCACTGAGCCTATGCAAGGTAACTTTGGGGAACAATAAGAAGTTTTCTCAGAAACGAGCATCTGGACGCAAATTTGAATTTTTTCTTTGTAGAAATTACTAAAAAATACAACATTACAGTGTCACGTACTTATTAAAATATGAAGGTAAAGGTCAAGTTTCACTAGCAAGTTTCATTCCGCTGCTGTGCTTTCTCAATTCCTACTTAAGTAACCACATGTACTATTAGAATAGTCGTAACATTCATGGATTCAAATTTAGTTTTTAATTTTGTTAACAGTAATTTGTTATTTAATATCCCACATCCTGATTACAAAAATCAAGATTTAAAATACTAAAACAAAACCTTGAAGCCCTGATTTAAAACATTGCATCATTCAGACATCCATCTTGTTTGACTGTAGTGAAGGCAGTTGAGCCTAGTTCAAACAAGTCCAAAAATTGAACCTGATAATCAGATTTAAAACATGATAGTACGTGTGCTAATGATTTTAGAATGGCCCTCAGTCTGGGCTTAATTATTAAAGATGCACTTGCAAGTAAAATGGGTTGCTGGAAGTGGAAAGGCGAGGGTAAGATGCCCTAAACCACGGAAAATTAGGTACTCATGCCATTAGGTACATCATTATTTTCTTATCTGCTAGTAGCTTGGCCATTTGTAATGTATAACTTTCATATAGCTTTTTTGTCTTTTGGTCCAGTTAGGTATTAATATCTGTTCTTGTTGCTTCATTTATTTGCATAAAGAAAGTGAACTCTTTTTTTCTGTCCCTTTTTTCTTTTTCTTTCTTTTCTTCTGCCCCTACCCCACATCAGGTAGGTAATGTTTTGATGCCATGTCAAAGTTTAGGGAAGCACACGTCACACAAGAGAGTGAATTTCCCAGTCATCACATTTATGAACCAGAAAGGATCATGCATCACACTCTGTGTTGAAAACTCCAGAGCTCTGCTTCTTTTATATAAAATGAACTAAAAATACTTAACGTAGTGCAAGAATCTTACAAATTTTGAAATCCCGGAAAGATACACATTATTATAGTATACGCCTTGGTAGTTATTTATTTCTAATTTAGATAGGAAGTTATACTTCAGTTCTTGGGTCCCTAAAACATGATAGAAATTTTTATTTCTTCTGTATTGATTGAAAAATAAGTAGGTTTCTAGAAGAAATTTTAAACCTTTTGTTGGCCTTCAAAGTTAGAAATATAATTTGCAGAAGAAAATTCAATAAATGTGGGAATTCTTTTTCTCCAGAACTCGTTGTTTACAGGCATTAGATAACTTATGCTGAGAAAATATGAATATAAAAAGTCTTTAACAGGGCTGGGGATTTAGCTCAGCGGCAAAGCGCCTGCCTGGCAAGCGCAAGGTCGTGAGTTCGGTTCCCGGTACCGGAGAAAAACCAAAAAAAAAAAAAAAAAAAAAACAAAAAAAAAAGTCTTTAACTGCCACTCAAGCAGTATTAAATTTCTGCAAGTTCCTGATAGAAAATGATCCTATTAAAATGTGCTTCTCACTGTCGCAGATACCTTTAAAAAATCATTTGAAAGTATTGACTCTTCTACACATTTAAAATTCTTCAGTCTTCTCTAGAGAAAGAGCACAAGTGAATCATAACATTAATTCTTTCCAGTTTCTTTTTTTTTCTTGTCATGACCAGGTGGACTTTATCTTAGGAAGGTGGTGATATTTGACATTCTAAATTTATTAGTGTTACTTTCCATAATAACAAAGTAAAAGGCAGAAATTACATGATTATCTCAATAGATGTACTCAAAACCCTTGGAAAATTCAGTGTCCATTCATGCTTTAAAAAATCCCAAAGAACATTAAAAATAGGAGAAACCTTTTCAATTTGATAAGAGGTGTTTATGAATCACCAAAGATGGCATCATACTTTAAGAGAGAATGCTGTAGAATTTCCCCCTGAGATCAGAAACAAGCACGTCCCCTTTTATAGTCAACATGGTTCTGAGTTTCTTTGCCTTTAACAAGGCAAGAAAAGATTTTTTTTAAATTTAAAAAGCAGGTTAGTGCGTATATTGTTTGATCAATTTTGCACGCCTATATCTTCTAATCTGGGCAACTACTTTGAAGATAACAATGTGCAATATGATAACCACTGTTTATTTCCTATCATCTTGTTTTGAAATTGTATCTTTTTTTAATTTTAAAGAAAAGAAAAATAAACAAGAAAAACAATGGTATAAAATTTCAAAACAAGATTGTAGGACAGTAGCAGTGGTTAGTACGTTGCATATTGTTATCTTCTAGTTGCATATGTTACAAGAGCTAGGCATGAAAAATCGATGAAACAGTATAGGCATATACCTTTCCTTTCAGTGAGCTGATTTTCTTGGGATACTAGCAATATAATACTCTTTCATCTTTTAGATTTCATTATCATGTGTTCTACATCATTGACACTTGGATATTTGTATCCATTGAATACAAAGTTACATTTATAGATATCCTGTAGATTTTTGCCTCTTGGGGTTTCAAAATGTATTCATTTTTATATCACTTATCATAAAACATTATTTGTTCTTAGAAGATATAAATGAAAATTTTAGTGCATTCCGCTTTCTTATTCTTTACATTACCCTTTAAATACCATAGTAAGACAAGTCTTCCTCCCTACTGAATTAAATGGAAACTCATGAAATTTAAGTGTTCAAATCATAAATAATACAGAATATAAAAGAAGTCTCCAGTAGAGAGGAGATAAAACAACTTGTGTTTTATTGATGAATACTACATACATGGAATATTTCTGTTTATAGATAAGATACATTTTCTGTATTTATACTGCTTTTCCCCAGTATCTTTGAGGGATAGTTGCAGAACCACCTGCAGATATCAAAATCTGCTGATGCTCAGGTCCTTTAATTGAAATGGTACACAGAAAGAAATCTGTACATGTTCAGTACTGATGTCTTTTGCCTCAAATATTTTTAATCCACAGATGTTTGAATCCTAGAAGTGGAACCTGTGCTTACAGATGACTGATAGTACATTTTAATTCATCCCTAGACATAAAACTAAATTGCAGTTTTCGCTTTCCTGTCAGTTTTCTGAACATATTTTCTACATCTGTGAATAAAGCAGAATTAGAGTCATCGTCTCTCGTTGATTGTACGTTTCTGTGATTTGTGTAGCATTTGAGACCGCTGAAGTACAAAATGAAGCCACTCAGTGGGCTCTTTCAATAACTGCGCTTTGTAGCATCATTGACTTTCAGTTACAGTTTAAGTCAGTGTAAATGTAGCCAAATATTAATATAACTATACTAACTTTAATATATTTAATTTAAATTTTATGATTTGTCTTATTTGCCATGTAGTTTTATTTTTTTATATGTGTGTATATCTGATAACAATACCTCAGTTAAAACGTTGGAAAGCCAGTACTTGTTCCAAGAATATCTATTTTCCTTGCAATTAAATTATTTTATGATGCTTTTGTCCTTAAAGAATTGTCAAAGCCAAACTTAATGTGCTTGCCCCAATACTGTATTTTTCTTTGATTTCTTGTACATCCAAGGCGATCATGTGATTGAATGTTTTTTTAAAAAAAATCGAATCACTTTTAAATGCCGACAGATGAAATTATTTTTAAATATTGCAGTTTGTAATTTTATTTTTGATGTTAGGTGCAAGAAGGAATGCATCTTTTGATAACTGGTCCCAATGGCTGTGGAAAAAGCTCTCTCTTCAGAATTCTAAGTGGGCTCTGGCCTGTGTATGAAGGAGTCCTTTATAAACCACCTCCCCAGCATATGTTCTACATCCCACAGAGGTAAGTCCTTCTCCTGTACCACAAGGAAGAATGTCCTTTCGCTCTAGAACTGTCCTGATTCCAGAAGCTCTTCTTTAAGGACATTTCATTGAGAGAATGTACTAAGGAAATTAAGGTTAGGTTATCCTGAAAAGCTTTGTTACTGCTGTGATTTTAATAGTCTCTGAAACAATACCACTTATTTTCATTTTCACATGTAACTAGACATAATAAATACTCAAAAACTGCAGAAGAAATAGCAAAGTATTTCAAAGAATACCTCGATTTCCTTAGATGTTCAATTATCTCTTCTCACAGGAAATATAGTATTTAGATGGTATACAGATTTCTCCATCAAGTGTCCTGCATTCATATATTCTAAAATTTGTCATTTATGTTTAAACACCTTGGTAAAATAACCTTTTTATGATTATGCTCATGATTAATTCTTTTAGCTACCTTAATTAAAAGTTTTAACAATGAATATAATATGCAACAGTCTTTTAAAATCTTTAGCCATCATACCTTGTAACAATTTAGAAATGTCTAAACACAAAGTTATACACTTGAGAATTTGGAATATTTCTTATGGACAGAAGAAAATGAGGTTTGAAGAAAAGACACTACTTATGTTAATCTGGTCTAGTAATTTTCCTGTGTATTACCATTGCTGGTTAAGTAGACATCACATAGTGTGTTTCCATCGGGTCAGAGGATAGTTCTGTGGAACCTTACGGAGCTCCAAGGCCAGGAGTGCAGTACTAGAGCACACTCAAACGTTGGATCAAGTATAGCACCATCTCATGTCTTTTCTGCCCCTTTTTCTTTGTTGAAGGATACTGCTACCATTCCACCCACTAGTCTAATTTTTAGACCTTATGTAGCAGATAGGCAGGTGAGGTTTTTAAAATTATTTTCTTTTCTTTAAATTAAGACCTGTAAAGATAGAAGTTATCTGGAGTATAGGACTACGTTAGCTGAAAATTTGAACATGAGCACTGTCCTGCTGGTACTCATGTTAAACACAAAATATATATAGCATCTTGTGACACTAGAATCATTGTTTCTTCCTGTCTATGCTTTAAAATCTTTTGGGATTATTTCTATTTCTGACAGCTAAATTATACTGCCAAAAGTATGTGTTTCAGACATTAACACATTAAATAGACACATTTTAATTGTGTATTTCAATGATAAGACATAGAATCATGAGGAAAATATCCTCTTGTAGAACTCTATTAATACAAATGAAAGTATATAAATACATTTTATATATTTTAGTTCTACAGGTTTCATATGTAATATGAAAGATACAGTGCTTGAGTGTATGACCTAAGTGATGTAAGATGTTTCCAAGTAGTGAATAAATTCATGAAAATGTACAAAGTCATTTTTTTCTACAGACAGAGAACTGTATTATTTTGAAAGAAATGTAAATCACTGGGAAACTTTGTCTTAGTTATGAAATTTATTGTTGCCTAACCAAAAAGGTCAACTACAGCCTAGTTAAGGAGAAAAATAAGAATGAGAAATCTGTTGTGAAGGTGAAAGCGTTTTCATAATGATTATTTTTAAAGTTATTACCTCATTACTTTCTAGAATCATAAAAATTTGTATTTATGTTTAAAATTTTTATGAGCTTACAAAAGTCATAAAATTTATTTAAATAAATATATAAACCATGAGTCTAAATGTAGTATTCATTTCTTATATTCTAATAGCTGCCAATTTTTTCCAAGTAAATTTGACAATAATCTTACGTGATTTCATTAGTTGGAAGAAAACTCTATATGGTCTATTTCAAAGATATTTGTCAGTAAATAATCTTAAACTTCTCTTCTTAAGATACTCTAATAAATATTATAATGTAATTTTTTACTTTATAGCAACAATATAGATTAACTACTAGTTTAGCAGGAAAAAAATAAAAACCAGCATTGAATTGAGATGTAAGAACAGTTTTCACAAGTCATAAAACAAGCTTACACTGATAACCCTGTATTCACATTCTGTGAGAGAAATGCTTCTTGGTCGCAGATGGAGCTCTTTATTCTTTGATCACGCGCACATGTACGTTCACTAGCACTGTCATGGGGAAATGGGATAGGTTTGTGAACATAGATTTCTAATCTTGTCGTGCAGTATACAAAGAAAAAAGTGAGCTCTGGAAGAGAAAGGCTCTCCATAGCACACCAAAGCACTTGTTTTCTAACTAGATCATTACAAAGAATGCTACTGTGACTGGAAGCTGGGAACCTGCATTCCTGGGAAATTGCGAAATCACCTCAGAGTTCTCCCACTAAATGTCTTCTAATACTTTAGCAGTACTGACAATGAGAACCAGATAAAAGAAAATCCAAACCTTAGTTCAAGAACACAAATAGCTGTGCTATATAGATTAGTTTCAAAACAGTTTCCTTTCACCGTATCTTTAGTAATGGTGGGATATGTTAACTATTAGTGCATTTAATACATCTTAAGAAAGAAACATTTTATCTAAAATGTAGGTGAGCCACTCAATCTATAGGATGGCATGTGGTGAGATAATCAGTTTTGCTCTAATGGAATCTGTAAAAATATTTGGGCAGTTTAAGTCTGTTGGAGACTGAATTTCCTGAGCAGTGAGACTGTACTTCTTAAAATAGTGGTTGAAACTCATTGTCCCAGCTATATTAGCTCTCCTGACCCCCCGGCCTAGTCTTTCACTTAGGTACAGATCCTAAATTCTTTCGTCAATTCTAGTGAACCTTCTGTCTTCCCAAGGCCTTAGGGTAGATTTATAACCCCCTGGTCCTGCTTTCACTAATCCACTGATTTATGACCTATTACTGTATTTCCCTGAAAATAAGACTGTATCTTATATGAGTTTTTGCTCCAAAAGATGCAATAGGGCTTATTTTCATGGGATGTCTTCTTTTTTCATGTACAAAAATCTGTATTTATGCATGTATAGAAATCTGTTTATTCAAATACAGCCGTGTCGTCATCTGGGACACTGTCAAAACTCTCCAAACCCCAAACTCTGGCTTGTATTTCTTGTGACTCCATTTCCTGTAGAAACCCTAGCCTGGGTCTCCAGCAGTAGAGCCCTCCATAAATGAGCCCTTCCTGTCCATGCAGCCTGCTTGTAGTGTATTAGCAACACAGCTGTCAGGAATTTTATCCCGTGAATTCTTCATTCAAGTCACAGTCTCCCACAGGCTGGGCTTCACGAGGTTCCCATGAAATCACGCGTTAATGGAAGACTTAGGAGACAGCAGTGGCTACAAACAGGATGACGGTTAGGAATAATGCCCACACAAAAGTGATGAAAAATTGCAGGCACCAAAATTTGGAAAACATTTATTTCCCATGGGTGCATGAAGCATGTCCGTTACCACACATGACATGTTGAATTATGAAGATTCATGTTAGACGTGATCACGTCCATTCATTATCAAGTATGCAGATTATTCATGTACTGTGTCTGTCTTCTGATTGGTCATTTGGCTCTAAATCTCGAGTTCACCTGTTTACACAGGAGTTTACTTCTTTTCCAAAGGCACCTGCTTGTGCATTTACAAATACTTAATTTTAATTTATATTATCATTTGTTTAAGTGTTAATGTCAATAATATTATGTATTTATATTTAATTATATATCAATAATATTTTATGATTTAGTACATCGATCATGTGTTGCAATAGGAACTAAGTTCATGGGTCTGGTTGACAGTCTTAACTGGGGCTTATTTTAGGGGTAGGGCCTATATTATAAGCATCCTTAAAAATCATGCTAGGGCTTATTTTCTGCTTAGGTCGTATTTTCAAGGAAATATAGTGCATAGTTACTTACTTATCCCACAGATCTTCTCTTCCTCAATCATTAAAGCCCACAGAGAAACCCTTTAATGTATTTATTTAGTTCACCTGCTAACAAAATAGTGTACTGCGCTAAGATTCACCAAAATGAGAAGTTGAAATATATGGTGGGATTGGGGGGAACAGATGGTGTAAAAGAGGGAGAAAAGGAAAGAAGAAAGGAAGAATGACAGGAGACAGTTGGTGTTTACTGACAACGGGTAGCAGAATTTTGCATTCTTTCATACCACTGTTTTTTTCAGTCCCCTAGAGGATTCTTTGTGTATGTTACAGTGCGTCTCTCCTCTACAACCATCTCTAGCTGGGCACAAGCCCACCGTGTAATTCAACTTTCTAAGGAAAAACAAAATGTCATTCTTTAAATTTTATTTTAAATATTTCTATATTTAACTTTTATCAGTACATTTTAGGCATACATAATGATCACATTCATCATAGAATGTTCATTTTTTATGGCATTTCCAATTTTTGCCCTTTAGTGACACAGCCTATATAATTTTAAAATTTAATGAATTAAAACTGATTTCATCTTCAGTATGTTGTGACCTTATAAGATAATTAATGGATTCTGGAGCATTTTAAGCAAGGGCTAAGAGTCTCACCTATTACTTTTGTTTTGAAATTATATAGTGTTAAACAATTACTGTGTGTTAGCCGCTACTCTACACAAGTTTTCTCATTTTTCTCTATGACATCCTATAAGATTGGTGTTAGTATCCCTATTTTATAGATGAGAAAATTTAGAGAGATTGAAGTCATCCAGGTGATAAAAATTGTAGATAACTTCTTTAGATAAATTTTAGATAGTTCTCTATAAAAATCTTAGATAACTTCTCAAAACTGTTCCCTTAATTTTAAATCAAAATACTTCCAGAGATATGAAGCAGACAAATCTTACATTTCACAGTGCATTATGGCATAGTCCACACTTACCCTTGATATCATCAAAATAGAGTATCTCTTGCAAAGAAAGTAGAGACTTGTTTCAAGAAGTAATAAGGGATGGGCAGAACATTTGAATGAATGTCAGTAATTGATCTATCTGAAGTATTTACAAGATAATCTGAATAGGCCTATATATTTAGAAAGGAAGGTTTACTAAAGGGTAACTTTAAGTCCTTATTTATTATGTATAACTGGTAGAACTAGAGAAACCTAAG